AAATTTATGGGTTAGACGTCTCGCACTTTGCAACGTCAACTCTCTGTCTTCTTAGACCAGTCTATTATCTCATGACTCGTATCTACCTCCTGACCACATCTAGACACTATAACTTGCATCCAGTGTAGTTTTATAGATTTAACGTTCACTCTTAAATGCCCTATGATGTTATCATAACTGAATACCTCTACTATGTAACCCAAAAAATACATCAAGTTTATATAGGTCTTACAATATACCATATACTTCTTAATAGGGTTAGACTACATACCTAGTCGTGGTGAGGTGTGTAGTCGAGTTGAGTCATAAAGTTGTATGACTCTCTACCCTAAAAAAAGTCTACATGACCTAAAATTGACTCATATGGTACCAATCTATCACGACCAAATTTTCAAAGTCTCGAAATTAAATAAAAAGACAAAGACCAAAAGTAAATAAAATTAAAAAAAAAAACTAAAATACACTAAAATTAAAATCAAATTAAGGATCATCAAAAACCCCACAATTAAATATAAAATGAAATCTCATTATAAAACAATATTTTTTAAATTTATTACAACCGGAAAAAGGGTTCGAGATACCGTTATCAATTGAAAAACAAAAAACTATAAATATAAAAGCGAACCGATTCTTCGGAACATTTAAGCTCAACAATAACATAACAAAATATCAAAGCCTAATTCCTCATAAAAACAAAAAATCTGAAATCCTTACCTCTCAATCTTTTTCGTTTATTGTCTATTAAGATATAATATTTGGAGAATATATTTTAATAATTAGTTATGAAGTATATTTTAGATATCGGTAATCAATTAATATTTTTTCTTTATTTTTTTGGAAATTGTTAGTACTATATTTTATTTTAGAATTTGATTAGCAGTATATTTTATCTTATTTACAAGATTTGGTTAGTTATATATTTTCACTCATTTTTATCATTTTTAAAGTATTAGTTAATAGTTTATCTATTTAAACGTCGTAAACATTAAGATCATATTTTCTATCTCAATTCTATTTCTTATTCTTAACCTTGTCAAATTGAGATGATTAAGCATAGATCAGTTCTCGAGGAAGAATCTTTAAACAAAATTTTCATTTCTCTCTCTACCTCTCTCTAAAATCTCTCAACTTTCTTTCTCCTCTTTTTTTAGTCTGAGGTTCAAAATGACCATATTACCCTTTGGGTTGACTATCATAATTTTTTACTATTTTTTTTTTATATTTTTCTTGAAAGTTTGACTTAACATCTTTTTCTTCTCCCTCAACTTTCAAATTTAACTTCTAAAATTCTCAATAAAATCCTAAATTTTTAAATTTAAAAGAAAAAATTATGAATTTAATCTTGATTCAGCTTCGAGTATTTACACCTTTTAATAGTCTCCACAAGACAAAATCACCTTACACATTTGACAATGGCTAAAGTTTTTCGTGGATTCATACCAATTCATCATTAGATACTAATATAGGTCTTAGCCAATTGAGACAAATTCACTCTCAGAGGATCAGAGGGCAGGTATTAAAACGGAATAATTCCTCATATGAGACTGATTGAGAAAGGATAAGTAGAACTGCACGAAGAGGGGGAGCTTAGTAGGCAACACCTGAAGGAAACGAAATGCCCCTATATGTGTTGCACAGAGGGGTAACTAACTGATTGTCTGTTCTCCGGTCCGTGTTTGGATCTGGATTTGGACATCACCGATTGGCGAAGTAAAAGTTAATAGAAGACCATTAAATAGTTTTCACATTATAAAAACATAAGAGGAGTGGCCCTAGGTCTACCACTTACTAAAAATACTTGTGAACCCTTATCAATGGAAATGAGCTCACAATTAGGAGTTAGTTAAAGAATCACTAATCATCCTCACATAATGACATAATTATATCGACTAACATAATGTCATAAGTGATCAAACATGAGCATAACTAAGTTACCTAACATAAATCTTAGCTCATAAACTCAGATCATAATCAAATTAATCTAAGTTCATCACCAAATACTTATCAATTACATTTCTTTTATTTGTTTCGAGCCAAACAAACACAAAATTCTCCAACATTATTGGATCATCATCATCATAACTTCATCCCTCGCCGCAGGAGACAGTGGCAGAGAGGCAGGGTGGCGGCGGAGACGGCGGGGGCGGCGACGGAGGAGGAGGGGGGAAACCCAAAAGAACAAAGAAAACGAAAAATGAATGAGTAATCTCTCTGTTGTTCGATCATTAATGCCGGACTCCTACTTCCAAAGGGTACCCTCTCACTCTTTCTCTCTCTTACTGTAAACAGACAAAAAAAGGGTCCTTTTTTTCTGTTTCTGTTACCTACACTGCAAAAAGAAAATGCCCCATTTTCTCTTTCCATATTGATAGAGAGAGAATCTTATGGATATACAGTTTTTTACCCGAAGTAAAATTATATATTTATTTTAAAAAATTTATCACTATGTTAGTGTTTAGCATAAACTCTCATGGTTTTAGGCTTACCCGTTTTAGGGCATGGCTCTGAAACCATGTTAATCGAACACGACTCTCCACAATGGTATGATCCACTTTGAGCATAAGCTCTCATGGTTTTGGGCTTACTGTTTTAAAGCACGACTCTGATACCATGTGAATTGAACACAACTCTCCACAATAGTATGATCTTTTTCACTTTGAGTGTAAGCTCTCAGAGTTTTGGGCTTACCCGTTTTATGGCATGGATCTGATACCATGTTAAGCTCTCATGATTTTGGGCTTACCCGTTTTAGGGCATGGCTCTGAAACCATGTTAATCGAACACGACTCTCCACAATGGTATAATATTGTTCACTTTGAGCATAAGCTCTCATACTTTTGGGCTTACCCGTTTTAGGGCGGCTCTGATACCATGTTAATTGAACACGACTCTCCATAATGGTATAATATTGTTCACTTTGAGCATAAGCTCTCATAATTTTGGGCTTACCCGTTTTAGGGCATGGCTCTGGATACCATGTTAATTGAACACGACTCTCCACAATGGTATGATATTGTCCACTTTGAGCATAAGCTCTCATAGTTTTGGGCTTACCCGTTTTAGGGCATGGCTCTGATACCATGTTAATTGAACACGACTCTCCATAATGGTACGATATTGTCTACTTTGAGCATAAGGTCTCATAGTTTTGGGCTTACCCGTTTTAGGGTATGGCTCTGATACCATGTTAATTGAACACGACTCTCCATAATGGTACGATATTGTCCACTTTGAGCATAAGCTCTCATAATTTTGGGCTTACCCGTTTTAGGGCATTGCTCTGGATACCATGTTAATTGAATACGACTCTCCACAATGGTATGATATTGTCCACTTTGAGTATAAGCTCTCATGGCTTTGTTTTGGGCTTCCCCAAAAGGCTTCACACTAATGGAGAGAGTATTCCTTGATTATAAACCTAGGATCATTTCTTAAATTAGCCGAGGTGAAACTTTCATCCAACAAACTCGACTCTAATATTTAAATCCAAATCAATCTAAACTAGTTCATAATCTAACTCAAACCGTATCAGTTGAGTCAAATTGAATTAGGTTGATCAAGTTTTTCAAATGATCCTATTTGTTTGAGATCCCACATCAGTTGCGGAGGAGAATGAGTCCCAGCGAGTACGTTGGGTCTCAAAAGGGGTGAATTGTGAGATTAAACATCGGTTGAAGAAGGAAATAAACCTTTGTCTAACCGACACGTTTTAAAACCTCAAAAGGAAGCCCGAAAGAAAAAACACAAAGAAGACAACATCTACTAGCGATCAAGGTAGCGTAAAAATAGAGTTAGTACAAAGAAATGAGTGGAGGTAAACACTATTCTTCCTTTTTTTACTTACCATGTCAGTGATTTCTCATTCTTTTTTCTTCTTTCTTCCTTTGTGGGCTTTGTTTGTGAGCTTTCCGTAGACGATAAAGCAACCAAAAGCTCTCTCTTACCTTTAGGATAGAGATAAAGAGAGAACTTTCTCTTTCTCAAATACAACATGAAAAAAAAAAATAGAGGGTTGGATGAAAGTCCCGCTAATTTAGAGAATGATCATGAGTTTATAATCAAGGAATACTATCTCCATTAGTACGAGGCCTCTTAAGTAAACTCAAAACCATGAGAGCTTATGCTCAAAGTGGACAATATCATACTATTGTGGAGAGTCGTGTTCAATTCACATGGTATCAAAGTCATGCCCCAAAACGGTAAACCCAAAACCATGAGAGCTTATGCTCAAAGTGGACAATATCATATCATTGTGGAGAGCCGTGTTCAATTGACATAGTATCAGAGCCATGCCCTAAAACGGCTAAGCTCAAAACTATAAGAGCTTATGCTCAAAATGGACAATATCATACCATTATGGAGAGTCGTATTCAATTAACATGATATCAGAGTCATGCCCTAAAACGGGTAAGCCCAAAACCATGAGAGGTTATGCTCAAAGTGAACAATATCATACCATTGTAGAGAGTATCAAAGTCATGTCCTAAAACGGGTAAGCTCTAAACCATGAGAGCTTATGCTCAAAGTAGACAATATCATACCATTGTAGAGAGTATCAGAGTCATGTCCTAAAACAGGTAAGCTCTAAACCATGAGAGCTTATGCTCAAAGTGGACAATATCATACCATTGTAAAAAGTCGTATTCAATTAACATGGTATCAGAGTCATGCTTTAAAATGGGTAAGCCCTAAATCATGAGAGTTTAGGCTCAAAGTGGACAATATCATATTATTGTAGAGAGTCATGTTCAATTAACATGGTATCAGAGTCGTGCCTATAAAACTTGTTGGAATACGGGAAAAGAAAAAAATATGATCAAAGAGAAAGAGAGAGAAAAAAGTGTCTTTATTTTTTCTGTTTCGAGTGTTTCTTCTCCATCCCCACAACACCAAACCCTTCAATTATAGTAAAGAGTGTTTCAAAGAAAAAAGGAAAAGAAGAAAGGAAGAAGAAACTGTGGGCTTAAAATGATACCAACCAAGACCACGCGCACCAACCCATTGTTTTTCATTCCTAATCATATAATTCATCTCATCCAAAAAAAGTTTCAAAAATAATGAAACTTTGTTCGATCACTTTCTCTTATTTCTTTTACCTCCCCGTCCTCGTCCTCTCGTTCTTGGCCTTTCATGGCGTCCACCGATCGTAGCAACTCAAGCAACCCGAACAATGTAATCGACATCGAAGTGTCGATGGCGGAGTGTCATGCAAGGATTAAGATAAGATGTAGAAAGTTCCCGAAGCAGCTTCGTAAGATCGTGTCCGGCTTGCATTCCTTGCGCCTCACTGTTCTTCAGCTCAATGTCTCCACTGCCCATCAGATTGCCCTCTACTCTTTCACTCTCAAGGTTGGTTTATAATATAATGCTCTTATCATTCTATTATTTTATTGTCTAGGTGGACCAAAGTTCCACATCAGCTAATTTAGAGAGAATGATCATAGGTTTATAATTAAATAATACTATCTCCGTTATTAACCTTAGGTTGAGGAAGATTGTGCGCTTTGTTCCGAGGAAGAAATTTCAAGAGGTGTGTATCAATTGCTTTGCAGAATTCAAGAAGAGGCATTCTCAGTTTGATTTTTTTTTAAAAAAAAAAATTAGAATTTTAATTAATGATCTTGAATTTTCTTTTTCTTGATGGAGTTGGAGATTCACATTGTAAACTTTGAGATTGTATTTGTTTGGTTCTTCTTTGTCTTTTTCTCTCTCTAAATTTTTGGTCGGTTCAATAGGTTCTTTAGCGTCCTCACTTGCACGTGTTTCCCTCTTCAATCGATGTGGGATCTCGTGTTTTCCTCTCCCATCAATGTGAGATCTCACAATCTACCTCCCTTTGGGACTCAGCGTCTTTGTTGACACTCTGCCCCCAGTGTCCATTCCCCTTCAGGGCTCAACATTCTTGCTAACACACTGCCCAATGTCTATGTAACGGCATAAGCCCAATGTTAGCAGATATTGTCTTCTTTGGCACTCTGCCCCCAGTGTCTATTCCCTTTCAGGGCTCAACATCCTTGCTAACACATTGCCCAGTGTCTGTGTAATGGCACAAGTCCACTGTTAGTAGATATTGTCTTCTTTGGCACTCTGTCCCAGTGTCCATCCCCCTTCAAGGCTCAACGTCTTTGCTAACACACTGCCCAGTGTCTGTGTAATGGCACAAGCCCACTGTTAACAGATATTGTCTTCTTTGGTTTTTCCCTTTCGAGCTTCCCCTCAAAGCTTTAAAGTGTTTCGTTCTCTTCTCCAACCAATGTGGGATATCACAGTCTGACTCTAATACTATTTGTAATGACCTATACTCACCGCTAGTAGATATTGTTCTTTTTGGGCTTTCTCTCAAGGTTTTTAAAATGCGTCTGCTAGGGATAGGTTTTCACGCTCTTATAAAGGATGTTTCGTTCTCCTCCCCAACCTATGGAACATCACAGTCTCGTTCTAATACCATTTGTAATGACCCAAGCCCACTACTAGGAGATATTATCTTTTTTAGGGTTTTCCCTTTTGAGTTTCCTCTCACGTCTAGCATTTCACCGACTACATCTTTAATGATTCTATTGACATGACTAAATTAACCTAACGACATCAATAATAATAGGAGTGATATAATAAGTAATTATATGTTATTTAATGATGGGGAATAATTTAATTATATAGGTAATTATTGTAATTATGTAAGGGTAAACATTGAATGATATTTGTAATTAAATCATATGGGGAATCCCAATGCAAAGGGAAAAAAGCTGATTTTGGTTGTGGGGTTTTGAATCCCTTTAACAGAACATAATAAAATGTTGACAAATAATGCAAAAAGTTATGGCGATAATGGTTCGACAGACATTTTTATAATTATAATATCAAATAATATGTCACATTTTTAATAACTCCTATTTTTTATTATAAATAAATAAACAAATCATGTGTTTAAAGTTTTTGTTTATGTTGTATGAAAATGTTTTCAAAATGTATTTTTATTTGATACCCACCTGTATTTTCGGGTTAAACGTAGAATAGATCATATCTGTACATAATAAGATAATCTATTAATTTACTCGTTTGTTACCATAAATTAAGGAGAATCTATGATTTCACGTGTTTAAAGTTTTTGTTTAAGTTGTGTCGAAATAAGATGTAAATGTCTGGTGTTGTATGAAAATGTTGTATGAAAATGTTGTATGAAAATGTTTTCAAAATGTACTTTTGTTTGATTCCCACGAGTATTTTCCGTTAAATATACTTTTGTTTGATTCCCACGAGTATTTTCCGTTAAACTCTATTGAACGTAGAATAGATCATATCTAAATAATCTAATTAATTTACATATTTGTTACCAAATTTATGATTTCACTACTTGTAGTTTACCCTTATATTGACCCAGGAAAAGACCTATCTAGAATGAAAGAATGTAGAAGGGGTTTGGAACGGGCATGCAACCATGGACAAAAGACCTATCTGAGATATCTGTCATGCGGTCATCAACATCACGTCTTGGACATGCATGACCGTGACATCCTCTCCCACTCAATTGGTTGATATATCTATCATGTGGCCATAAGCAACATGCTTTGGACATGCATGATCGTGAATATTTCATGGTTTGTTACCATGTAATCTTCATTATACACATATATCAATACATGAGATCGTGACCCATATATCATTCAACCTAACATTTTCAACTGATAAAATTAATAGTAGTTAGTTATTTTAATTTTATTAAGTTAAATTATTAAAATTATTTTAATTAGTTTTAACTAAATAAATTTATTTTAAACTTTAGGTTTTTGAGTTTTTTTTTAAGTCAATCAAACTTAATAATTATTTTCAAATACATATTTTAATAAAATTATATAAATAATAGTAAACAATTAGTGCAATAATCAAATCAAAAAATTAATCATGCATGCTATATTTTAAAAATAAATTATACTTTAAATGATTAGAATTATATAATTATCATAAATTATTATTAAAATAAGAAAAATGGTCTTATAGCATATACTTTAAAAAAAATGAAATGAGAGAATTAAAATAATAATAGAAACAATACAAGAGATATATAAAAAATACAAATTATAAAGTAATAAGAAAGAAAAATTAAGGTAAAATAGAAGGAAAAAAATAGAAGAGAAGCCTAAAAGGTTTTATAAATCCATTGATTTTGGGATGGGTTGTGAGATCGAACCTCTCCCTAGTAGACGCGTTTTAAAATCGTGAGGTTCACGACGATAAATAACAGGTCAAAATGGACAATTTTTGTTAGCAGTGGAACTTGGCACTACAACAAACAATAAGTACGATAGCTTATATAGCAAACTATATTGAGCTATAATATGTTTAATATAGCAAACAAAATGCTATCGTAAACTTTTAATAGCGTTTTTATTAAGCTATAATATGTTTAATATAGCTAAAATAGTATGCTATCTTTAACTTATATAGCAAAGTTTGGCTTCATGTTTATCAGGTAGAGAAGTGTCATCTTCAAATTCATCATGCCAAGACCTGCATCACTTTATTCACCTATATAAATATACAAAATATATATGAATATATGATTATGTGTTACTTTGTTAGATGGCCAAACAACTGTACTACCCACGGCTTCTTCAATACATGTCATTTTTGATGTAGGCTGCTACAAATAGGCATTGCATTTCCTTGGTATATCAACCCATACTCTAATAGCATGCAGTCCAATAGGGATATGATGAACAAGATCATTAGAAAACCATAGTCCATTCTACAACAATCTCTACTGAGTCATGCCAATCTAGTAACTTAGACTTAATTTGAGTATCATTATTGATGCTCTACAAGAAGAAAAATAAAAGCATTGAGAAACTGATAGTAATAATGAAATCAATAATTTTGTTTTAGAAAATCAACTTACGGTAGGAAAAGGTATTGTCAAATTTGAATGGCTATTTGTTGATTTTGGTATACTTCCAATACCATTAGAGGCTTCCTCGGTTAGGTCAATCCATGAAAATTTCAATTAAAATATATATGGAATAAACTCATGAATGTGAAATTTATATAACTTAATTTAAAAAAATGTACCTGTTTCTTCGTAAAACTTGAGAACATTGATTTCATTTCCATCATTTCTTCCCTCATCTTCAAATATTCTTTCTCAAGAGTCGTGTATCTATTTTCTTGTTGAGACAAGAGAGACAATTTAGATCGAGTCACTCCAAATCTAAGTCCTCTTACATGCCCACAATCCAGTCCAAGAAATTTACTCAAAGCATCATCAACAATATTATTTGATGAAGTTTTTGTCTCGACCTCGGCTAGCTCCTACATTTAAAAAATGTCAATTGTCCATAAATGCTTCACACATCTTATCAGTTAAGACATGATCAAAAACATTTCAACCGAGTTTGTTTATTCAATGTGCTCATTACTAATAAAAAACCACTTCAACGGCACATCTCATTAATATTATACACAAGAGACATCAACGACCACAATACTTCCAAACTTTTCACATATCCAATAAAATATAAAAAAAAGAGTCATTTTCAAACCAGTTTAACGCATGTTATAAGAAAAAAAAAATCAAATCAAGTACTTTTTTTAAAAGTTCCACCACCACCACCACCACATACGCTCAATCTTAAGATAAGTATTATTTGTTTGTTCAACCGCTCATACCAATAAGAAATCACTTCAACCGTCCCTTTCACATACTTCATAAACAAAGGATATCAATAAACATAATACTTGCAAACTTAAAAATAAGTAATTTTCAAACAAGTTTAACATACGAGTGTCTCAGCAACTTGTGAATTCACCGGTTGTCCATCCTTCTTTGTGAGCCTTTGTCCATAACATAATCCTTGAGATCGAAGTTGGATCTGAAGAACTTAACTTCTACCAAATGAAATAAATATACTAAATTCACACGAGAGTAGAATAAAACTACAATATTAATATTTTTCATCTCTTCAACCAGACGGGCATATCCTTTCCTCAGAATGCCTCATAATGGACTAATCAAGCAAATAAAAAAAAAAAACCATAAGCAAGGCAAAATTAAAAGAATAAAAACAAATTAAAACGCTCAAATTGAATTATTTTTCTAATTTCCATAATTATCTGGCAAGATTCAATATATTCTCATAATTATTTTATCCAAATTTTAATACAAGTTTTATAATATATGATTCTCCTAAAAAAATTACACACGCTTACAATATTACTTATTCTAGTAGAAATTTCACTCATATATCACTAGAAAGCTACAAATATTTTCCTTACAAGAGGATATATCTATTTTTGTAGCGGAATAATCATTGATGTAATGTGTGTTTATCGGCTGCAAATATATTTTAGTATCAGTATGTGTTTTTTCCCTCAAAATGTTGCTACTCTAGTGATGTGGAGTGAAAAGTCATTGTAGTAACAAAAAAATTTCAGTAGCAAAACAATTTAAATATGGAGTATGTGTTTATATACATCAGTATGGTCATTGCAGCAGCAAAAGAACTCACTCATACACTCATACATCACTAGATTGAGAGGAGAAATTACTATAACACATTGAAAAAACTCACTCATACACTCATACATCACTAGATTGAGAGGAAAAATTACTATAACACATTGAAAAAACTCACTCATACACTCGTACATCACTAGATTGAGAGGAAAAATTACTATAACACATTGAAAAAACTCACTCATACACTCGTACATCACTAGATTGAGAGAAAAAATTACTATAACACCTCAATCCCCCATCAAAACCTCATAATACTAAACAAAATCTAAAAAAGAAGCTAAGGGAGAGAGAGAGGGGATGAAAAATGGCATAAGATTTTAAACCAACGGGGATGAAAACTACATGTGCATAAGATTTTAAACTAACCCATATCTAAGAGCCCGTTCACTGCTTGCCGAAATAGTGGGAGAGTGATTTTTGCTGAGATAGTCTTGCCGAAATAGGTGGAAGAGAGTTGCAAGGTCTTACCGAAATAAGGGAGAGAGTTGTTTGCTCCGGCCAAAATAGGTGGGAGAGGGAGAGACTCCTTTGCTAAGATAGTGTTGCCGGCCAGTGAGAGAGGGTTGAAAGGGAGATGGTTGTTCTTTTATCTCAGATGTTAGGGTATTAATGGGATGGGCTGGGCTTTTTCAATTTATTTAAATGTTATCTTCCAACGATATCAAAAGCCTTCATTCTTGTAGTGTGGGCGGACAATGTGCCTACGAAAATGAAACATTCTTTATAAGGGTGTGTAAACCTCTCTTTAGAAGAAGTGTTTTAAAATCTTGAAGTTGACTGCAATAGGTAACGGGTCAAAGCAGACAATATTCGCTAGCAGTAGATTTGGGGTCAAGGAATGCAAACACATGCAATTAATGATCTATGGACCTATCGTAAAAAATAAATAAAAAAAAACATCATAGGGGTGGCCTCTAGTCTGGAAAATTGGATGTGTAGTACTTCCCTACACATGATCCACACGTGTGAGAGTGAATCCCTAGGTGGTTCGCACCCCCCTAGACCCATCATAGTCGAGTTAGTTTTTTGTAGTGACGTCCGGAGGTCAACAGACTCCTGAAAGTCATGTGAGGCATGATGATCATCATCATCCTAGTGTACATGTCCGTACTCATCATCGCAAAAGGAGAAGTAGCCCGATGTATATATACATATAGAATGCATGAGGTAACTATAGTTTCTCATTTTTAAAGCATCTTTATGACACAACTCTAAGTTTTGTTCACATATTACTATAAGAATATACGTGCATTGATCTTCGTACATTCATCATCATTAACATTAACTAGGGTTGTGTTCTAGGAAATTTATCGTCACAATGCAGCATGACATTTAAAACATGCATTTTATCTTAATATAGAATAACATCATATTAAGAAATTTCATAATCTTACATCGTCATATTATCATGCATCATCGTCATCATATAAGAACATCATAAAACATCATATACTATCAAACAATTCATCATACGTGATACATTATACATCCTACATCATCATCATATAATATAATCAGAGCATCATAAATATAAAGCATAAATGACACGTGCAGTGGCCACTAAGCACGTGGCTGAGAATATTTGCTAAAACCATCACATCTAAATGATGGTGAAAGTTCTTTATTTATAATCATTTAGATAATCAAATAAATTACAAATGATATGGAAAGAACAATAAATGGAGAGAGTAATGAATGGATACAAGATATTTGTCTATAATAAAGGGCAAATATGATACCTATGTTAAATTGTAATGGAAATAAAGAGTCAAATATGGTATCTATGGTAAGCCATAATGGAAGGCTAAATATCATGCAAATATTTGCCTATAATAAACCGTCAAGTATGATACATATGGTAAACCATAATTGAAAGCTAAATCTCCTTAACACCCCCCGCAAGGTGAACTTCGAATTTGAACGAATGTGAAGCTTAAATCTAAAAAATTTAAAGAGTGGTTGAAAAACAATTTTTGTGAAGATGTGAGCAACTTGGAGATGGCAGGGTAAATACTATGTGCAAAGTTTGATAGCGATAATAAGTTCTTGAAGGAAATGATAATCTAGTTCAACATGTTTGGCCTGCTTGTGAGAAATTAGATTAGAGCTAAAAAAATAGCACTTTTGTTGTCACATAAGAGTAAGGACTGCTGCAAAATAGGGACCTTGAGATCATGCAAAAGATGCGTAACCCAAAGAAGTTCAGCAGCAATCGTGGTAAGAGCACCATACTCAGATTCACAGCTCGCAAGAAATGAGATTGTAAGAAGATAAATAGAATAGTCAGATATAGAACGGCGAGTATCAGAACAATTAGCCCAGTTAGCATTCGAATAAGCCACTAGTGCACTAGGAACAGTGGATGAAGGAAAGGTAAGAGCAAAGTGGAGTGTTCTCTTGACATAGCGAAGAAAACGTTTGACAGTAAGAAAGTGATATGCAGTAGGGGCATGCAAAAATTGACATAATTGACAACATGGGCAATATTTGGATGCGTAATGGTCAAGTACCAAATGACGCCAACAAAAGATCGATAGAGAGTAGGATCAGAGAAAAGACAACCATCAGCAATCAGGTGTTGAGAAACAACCATGGGGTGTGGACTAGTTTGCTATCGAGCAATTGAGCACGAGTAAAATATCTCGAGCATATTTTAACGGACTAATAAAAAGATCATTAGGAGTGAGTGAAGATTCAAGACCAAGAAAGTAACTAAGAGAACCCAAAATCTTGGTAGCAAACTCAGAATGAACTTGTAAGTAAAGTTGTAAATAAGATATGGGTTGTTGTCGGTAACAATAATGTCATCAATATAAAGAAACAAATAGATAAGGTTAGATTATTGATGAAAGACAAAGAGGGACGCGTCAACACGACGGCAAGAAAAACCAAGTGTCAGAAGAAATGAACTAAAACGCTGAAACCAAGCACGAGGAGCTTGCTTTAAGCATAGAAGACTTTCTTTAATAGATAGACATGTGCAGAAAATCAAGATCAAAATACCTAGGAGGTTGTTCCATATGAACATGTTCAATAAGAGTGTCATTGAGGAAAACATTATTGACATCAAGTTGCCTAAGAGGCCATTTATTTGTGATTGTAATAAAAAGCACAACACGACAGCAGTAGCTTTGACAACTGGACTGAAAGTGTTAGTGTAGTCAAGACTAGGAACCTGAGTATAACCTTTGGCAACAAGAGGAGCCTTGAAACGCTCGAATGATCCATCATTCAAATTTTTAACGCGGAACAACCAAAGTCCAAGTGTCATTTTGTTGTAAAGCTCGAATTTCTTTATCCATAGCCGCAAATTTGAATCCTTTAGGATCAGTGGATGCTACAAGAGCATAAAGAAGTCTAGATGAGTCCAAAATACCAAGATTTTTTGGATGATAGAGTCTTGAAGATACTTGCTTTGGCTCGTGTGATCATAGGATGAGAGCCGAAAGAAGAAGAGGAATCAACAATAGGTTCAATAGAGGCCAAATCAAAAGTCAAGGGTGACAAAGAGGAACCTCCAAAAGAAGTATCAACCTGTACAAACTCATCCACAAAGTCAGAACAAATATCAGACGGAGATGAACTGGATCGAGGAATGTGCGGGGAAGAAGTGGTAGGGGGAATGAATCAATATAGTAAAGATGCAGTTCTAAGAAATTTGAAATATGAAAGAGGAAAGAGGTTGGGCCTATGAGACAAAGACAGGAGGAAAGTGAGTTTCATGAAATTGAGCATGGGGTGATCTATAGCTTAGTGGTGGTGGGATCATAAAACGACCGATCTTCGACCTCTCGAATCACGGGTCGGCACATGGACTCAAGAGTAAAAACCTTTCAACACTTCTTGTTGTTTAAACAAGGACTAAAAGTTAAAAGTTGTTTGATATACATTTCAAAATATCGAAAATTACTACAAAACACATAACGAGAACCCACGGAGTCACATCAAAAGAACTGCAAAATATCGCGGGCTTTTCCAAAAGCATCAAAATCAAAACCAAAATGACATGGGAGAAGAGGACTCAATGTAAGGGCCCCTTCTGCATCTTCACGACTCCACACGTTCCCGCCACTGATCCAGATCTACTTTTCACTTGAAAAATAAAAACAACATGGAATGAGTATATACAAATACTCAGTAAGCAAACTGCTCGTAAGCTCTTGTCGAACTTAGCTCTATTCACGGGATCTTAAGCTTTGTGCTCGAATAGTTGCTAGTCAGAGACCTAGTAGTACCTGATAACATCTAACTGTTCCTAAGATCAATAACTACCTACCACTATGCCTCGCTAGGCTGAGTCAGTAACTACCTGTCTTAGCCCTTGTAGGCTCAGATCAGTAAAACTACCTTTCTTAGAAACAGTAACTACCTGTCACTATGCCGCTCGGTTGGATCAGTAAAAAGACTATGGCTCATCCCACTATTCACCTCTAACGGGTTACCACAATAATATACTATGATTACCCTCAACCCCTTTTGGGTGACTACTAAAACGGTACACTGTCGTCTACGTAATTCATAACTTATGATAACTAACACATAATAAATAGTCCAACATAAAAACATACCATTCCATACGCCTATCAGAAATTTCACATTCATGCCAGCAAAACTATATAACCATAACAATAATCAAAATATAACCAAACACATTATCGAAGTACCACCTTCATGAACTAAATTTATCCATCCCTAAATACGGTACTAAATTATTTGTCCACAAACCCAAACTGAGGCATACAAGCAATTACATAGAAACTTGCTCCAGATGGTTACTTACATGATCGTAGACTTCTCGAACTTTATCAAGTCTTCAAGTGTCCACTTGACTAAGCTAATTGGAAATTTTCCTATAAATAAGGCATTATGGAATGTGTGAGTCAAGTACCTAAATCTGAATAAAGACGAATCAAATAGTATGAAATGAAAAGAAAAATTTGGGTTTCGGTTCTATACAGGTGAGTTGGGTCGGGTCGGGTCAGGTCGCGCCCCACAATTTTCGGCCTCTTCTTCCCACCTTCTTCTTAATCTTTCTTTACTCTCAGCACCCCATGTCTTCTTCTTCACGAGGACACATCAACTTCCCTCGACCATAACCTAGGTACATCGACCCAATAAAATGTATTAGAATTTTTAGGAAAGGAGCAACAAAAATAACACCACTAGGGCTTACCGTCGGCGTTCTCCCTTCTTGAACCGTTCGGCCCCAACGTTGCTGACGAGCTCTTCAAGCTTCGTCGTTCATCTCCTCCGCTCCACCCTCTCCTCTATTTTTCTTCTTCTTCTTTTTTCTTTCTTCTTTTCCTTTTTTTTTTCTCCTCTGAGCTGCCTTTCGTTTCTTTCTTCTATTTTTTATTTTTTAAACCCTAAAAGAGTAGTACAACTGGTCTTTCTCTCTCCTCACTTAATGCCAGCTATATGGCTCTTACAGATCAAGACAACTAAACCCTGTATGAGTGGGACTATAACCCAAAAAAATGCAATAAATGTTGTAGAGAGAAAGTTTGTTAGGCATATAATCACTCAAGCAAGGATAAATATGACAACCAAAGGGATGAAAATTTTCTTAATGCGTGGGTGACTTACCTCCAACCAAAAAGTGGAGTAGGCAATCGGTTAATAATATAAGCTACAGTGTTGAAGGCGTCAACCGAGAAACGAGAAGAAAGATGGGAGTGAAAGAGAATGGTCAAGCCAGTCTTAGTCACATGATGATGTTTTCTCTCAGCACGACCATTTTGAGCAAGTGTATACGGACAAGAGAGTTGATGGTGGATGCCAGAAATACGTAGGTGAGTATTGAAACAAGTACTAATAAATTTGGCACCTCCATCGCTTTGATAAACCTTGATACTAGTAGAATATTGATTTTTCACAAATTTTTAAAATTGAAGAAAAATATCAAAGAATTCAGATTTAAATATTAAAGTGTAAAGTGAAGTGCACTGAGAATAATCATAAACAAAAATAACGTAGTAAAGACAAACCAGATTGATTTGATGAGGGAAGGACCCTAAAGATCCCAATGAATAACACATGAGACGACCTATATTCATTATGGGAATAAGTCAGTCGATGACTTTTAGCAAGTTGATAGATACTACATAGTGATGGAGAAGGCAACAAAGATGTAAGAGAAAGATGGTCTTTTTTTTATTTAAAAAATAAATGACAGAATAATTCACATGACCTAGGCGAGCATGCCATAAATCATATGCAACACATAAAGATTTGTTTCTAAAGGAAGCAAGGTGGCTTCCATGGGTGCAACCACGATTAGTGGCTGTGAATGACATAGGAGTGAAGTCAGAAGACTCAAGGGAGTGGTGGAACAACTCAAAACTTTCAACTTTAGAGACTAAGTCTACAAAAAAAAAAGGAGTGAGTGACATCTAAGTAGTAGAAAAAGTTGAAAAATCGATGTCGAGTCCACAAAGAAATCTATACACTTTATCAATGTCCTCAAAGGGTCTGCCAATGGCATGAAATTGGTCATAGATTGTTTTGAATACTCAACAACATGTTTGGTGCTACAGTTTCATCAGCTGCATGTCATTCTTAAGTCCCAATTCATGAGCTTTTGAATGATAGCTGAACGTAGTTTCAAACGTGAGCCAAACGTGACGTGAAGTGGAGACACCAACGAAGACAAAAATGACTTCCTCAGTGAGAGAGGAGAGTAGGAGAAAGAGAAGTCGTTGATCGTCTGGTTTCCACGTCAAGTATTTGGTGTTGAGTGTTGAGGAGGTTTCTGGTTTAAAGCGAGATGGTGGAACCAAAGTTCTATCAACATAGCCCAACATATCTTGACTCTCGAGGAGAGGGATAAGTTGGCTTCTCCAAAGAAGATAATTAGAGGAAAATTTTTTGATGGTGATCATATGGATTAGAATGTTGAAAGGAAGAAAACTCGGAAGCCATAGAGAATAAATGATAGAGTTGTTATATCGAAGAGGCTTTGATACCATGAGAATATTTGTTAAAAGCACCAGACCTAAATGATGGTAAATATTCTCTATTTATAATTATTTACTGAATCAAATAAATTACAAATGATATACAAAAAAAACAATAAAAAGAAAGTGTAATAAATGGATACAAGATTTTTGTTTATAATAAAAGGGAAAATATGATATTTATAGTAAGTGGTAATGAATGATAAATATTTAAATATTTTTCTATAATAAAGAGTCAAATATGGTACCTATGTTAAACTGTAATGAAGGCTAAATATCATACAAGATATTTGCCTATAATAAATAGTCAAATATGATACATAAGTGGGATTGAAAGTGCGATCTGCATTAATGTTCACTACGTTTAAATAGGATACAAGCTACCAATTTACACGTAAAAATGAAAGAAAATATCCTACTAACTAAATCCTCAAAATAAGATAAAATATATTATCAACCAACTTCTAAGAATAAAAAAAAAAAGTATTGATATATAAGATATATTTCATAACTAATTACACTTAGTACCACAAAATATATTCTCCAAATACCTTTATCTCTTAATACTCTCCCTCCCTCAAGTTGGAGATTGTATATCAATCCTATTCAACTTGTCTTTCAAAAAATCAAATTGATGTCTTCCCAAAGTTTTAGTGAAAACATCTTCCAATTGCATTTTAGTCAAAACATAACACAATTTGATGAATCCAACTTGTAACTTTTCTCGAACTATATGATAATCTACTTCAATGTGTTCCGTACATTTATGAAAAACTGAATTGAATGCTATATGTAATGCTGCTTGAATATCACAAGACAATAATGTTGATTCGGACAGCAGAACTTTCAAGTCTGGAAGAATATACCTCAGCCAAGTTAACTCTAAACAAGTATTTGTTATAGCTCGATACTCGGCTTCTACTGATGATCTAGACACATTGGTTTGCTTTTTAGACTTTCAAAAAATAATTGAATTTTCCAGGAAAATGCCGAACCCAAAAATAGACCGTCTGAAAGTACAACCACCACTTAGTCAGAATCACAATATGCTTGTAATCTCAAGTTGTTTTCAGATGATAGTTTGACTAGAAGTATTTTTAATGTATCTCAGAACTCGAAGAGCTGCCTTCCAATGTGGTTTTCTTGGTTCATTCATAAATTGACTAAGCATACGAACTGAATACATTATGTCAAACCTAGTAACAGTTAAATATATTAATTTGTCAATCAACCGTTTGTATTTACTTGGATCATTCAACTTATCTCTTTCTATTAAAGAAAATTTTAGATTTTACTCCATAGGAAATTTTTCTAGACGTGCTTCTGTAAGACTTGTGTCTTGAAGAATGTCTAGAACATACTTTCTTTGAGACATAAAAATTCCTTTTCTTGATCAAGAAAATTCAATGTCTAGGAAATATTTCAAATTCCCTAAATCTTTGATAAGTAATTTCTAGAGTAACTAGTCTTGAGATATTGAATTTTTTTGAGATCATTGTCTATCAATAGAATATCATCAACATAGATAAGAAGTATACTCTTTGTAAATAAAGAGTAATCTACTTAGACTGAGTGTAGCTTGCATTTTGTATAGTGGTAGAGAATATGGAAAACCAATTGCGAGAAGCCTGTTTTAACCCATAAAGAGATTTATGAAGCCGACATACTGTATTCTCCCCCTATCGGTGAAGACCTGGTGGTAAAGACATGTAAACTTCCTCATCTAGATTACCATGGAGAAAGACTTTTTAAACATCCAACTGATGAATGAATCATTTTCGAGTAGCAACAATAGTGAGTAAGCAACGAAATATAGTAAGTTTCGCTGTAGGAGAAAATGTCTCTTTGTAATCAATACCTTCAACCTGAGTGTATTCCTTTGCTACCAGTCGAACTTTATAATGTTTAAAGGAACCATCAGAGTTTTATTTAATCTTGTACACCCAACGACAACCAATAATAGGTCGCCAACTCCTTCATCATTGGTTTTAAATTCTATTTGGGCTATAATAAGAGTTAGAAAAGCACGTTGAGTAGGAGAAAAACGAGAGAATGAAATTTGACAAGGAGTCTTATGTCATGGTTTAAAATCATTATACAAAGTTACAAGACCATTTGAGTATTTTAAGAATTTAAACCAAAATTTGGGATGGTAAATGACCAAAATACTCCTATGAGAGTTTGAAGATGTTTTCAAGACTTTAAGACACTCAAAATATTACGTAAATTTATCTGAAACTCATTTGAGGGTAAATATGTAAGATCTAAAGGGGACCTAGTATGTAAACTTTTAATTAATCAATTTTGATTCATTAACTATAAGTCACTCCACTAATAGACCTAGAGTTGCACTTTTATGCACCGTAGAACATGTTATGTCTATTGATATAATCATTATAAGGAAGTCAATCTTTCACGAGTTTTCATAATTACAGTTGAGTTAAAAGTCGTTTTATCCCTGTAATTACATCTTTCACCTTAAGTACCATATAATTTCTAATAAACAATTTGTTTATGATCCAATCATAAGTTAACGTCCATCACAGGTCAATGAGAGGGTGAGGCCCCGTTGTTCAAGTCTCGAAATCAATAATTAAGAGAACAACTCATTTACTTTCCTTATATAGAAATGAGTGAATTTAATCTCATGATATTATGTTGTCAACTCTCTACTTGATCAAAGTCCCCAAAATTGTTGGTATATTGAATGACTATAATAGTCATTCTCACCCATGCAAATTTAAAAACAATCCCTCACAGGCAGGAGTTCATAACTCACTCAGGATTAAGATCGAGTCGTATCTATTCATCACGTGAAATATTATTAATCTACTTAATTAACAGATTTATAAAGTGCGATAAAATATTTCTTGGTTTGTTCTTATACAAACTGATTCTATAGAATTCCTCCAGTCACATATCTTCACGAATTATTTGAATCAAATCATTTATAACAATTACAAAGTGGGAAGGGGTGTCAACTAGAAGGCACCCAACATTAATATAGAAAACTTCATTTATTATTTTTAATTTCATAATTCTTATAATGAAAAAGGGTAGGATTTGTAAAATTAACTTCAGTAGATTTAAGAGATTCTCATTAAATTATGTCATCAATATCATTTGAAAAATTGAAAGTTTTTTTTTGTGTGGAGAGACGGTAAATATCCACAAACTATTAGGTAAAAACCAGATTTTTTTTAGGAATGAAATTGAGATCTCAAATTAAGACTTTTACTCTCATAAAATTTTACCATGATTTCTAAATATACATATTTTTGTTTTAGAACATTTCCAAAATAGATTTTTTTTTTTTGGAACAATTCCAAAGGTAGTAAAATTAAGGTTTCAAAAACCTTAAATTGTACCGCGAATTGATGAACATCGTCATCGTTACCGCCGTCTCTTTTCAATTTGTCTAACAAATCGGTAAATCTAATGCCACAACGATATGCAAAAAACAATCAATTTTGCAAATCAATATTACACATATCACATATATGATTTGAATTACAATACCGACCATACTATTGATTCAAAATAAAAATCAATAGGCTCTGAACTAATGGAAGATAATGTACTCTTCATCTAGGTAGCTGAAGCATTAAGAACTAATTTTATTATGAATTAAAAGAAAAACAATAAATACTAAGAGCAAAAACTCTATTTTTGTAGAAACCTTACCTTGGAACACTTCTTGAAGTATTCCAACCATACAAACGTTCTTCATATTCTACAAGTTTTTCTGGCTATGACTCGAACACAAGGCCAAGGCTTGTGGGAGCCTCTTGAAAGAAAATCCCAAAGAGATTGGAGAAAAAGAGTTTCGAGAATGATCTAGAGATATAATTTCATTCTACAAGAAAAAGTGGGAGAGATTCATATCTTTTGGCTCAACCCGAGAGTCCTATTCATACAGACTCTTGGAGGATCTTTGTCAAATAATATATTTGCATCTTTTAATATATTAGGATATAATATTTTGTAACAATCATATTTATATAATAAAAATATATTTAATTAATTTGAATCTCATTCAAATTTCAAATATATTTTTATTTAATATATTAAATACATTCATTCATTTAATATTTAATTGTATCAAATACAATAAATATATTTTCTCTTTTTAATGTATCTAATATATTAAATATTAATTTGAACCTTTAAATTAATATATTTTTCTCTATTCATATTTAACCTATCTAATATATTAAATATTAATTGAAATACTTCAAATTAAATATATTTTCTCTATTTATTTAATATATCTAATATATTAAATATTAATTTGACCTTTCAAATTAAATTTATTTTCTCCTTTATATTTAATATATCTAATATATTAAATATCAATTTGAACACTTCAAGAATCTTTTAGCGTTACTATGAGCTAGCAAGGGGACCTTATTATAAGCTCCAATGATACAAAATTAATTAATTAAACTTTTTAATTAATCAATTTTCATTCATTAACTATAGGTCACTCCACTCTAGACTTGGAGTTGCACTCTTATGCACTATAGGACAAGTTATGTCCATTGATATAACCATTACAAGCAAGTCAATCTTTCACGAGTTGTTCATAATAACAGTTGGGTCAAAGTTCGTTTTACCCCTATAATTACATCTTTCACCTTAAGTACCACTTATTATCTAACGAACAATTTGTTTATGATCCAATCATAAACCAAGTCTCTCTCGAGCCAATGAGAGGGTGGGACCCCATTGTTTAAGTTCCGAAGTCAATCCTTAAGAGAACAACTCATCTATTGATTGATATGCTTATGATATTGATATATATATATATATTTATATATGTTATAATATGTGAATTGGATGAACCCCATTTCCTGATCAACTCTAAAATTCCCCTTTCTAATTGCAATTCCCCCAAGTTTTCTCACAATTCCAAATGCTAATCACAACATTGCAGTAGCGCCGCTTCTGGTAATCACTGAATCAAGGTTTTGTGTGTGTGTGTGTGTGTTCAAGTGGATCTCAGATTCCATGGGACTGTGTCATGGAAAGCCCATTGAAGATAACCCAAAACCCATCTCGGAAAATCTCGGTTCATCCATCCAAACTGAAACCTCCACAACCCCGACCACTTTCCCCTTCTACACCCCCAGTCCTCTGCCCAATCTCTTCAAGACCTCTTCTCCGGCCAACTCCAGCCTCTCCTCCACCCCTCTCCGCTTCTTCAAGCGTCCCTTTCCGCCGCCTTCTCCGGCCAAGCACATTCGGGCTCTCCTCGCCCGCCGCCATGGCTCCGTCAAGCCCAATGCCGCTTCTATCCCTGAAGGAAGTGAGTGCGATGTAGCCTTGGATAAGAACTTCGGCTACTCCAAGCACTTTGCCACCTACTATGACCTTGGCGACGAAGTGGGCCGCGGGCATTTTGGCTACACTTGCTCTGCCAGGGCGAAGAAGGGCTCTCTTAAAGGCCAACAAGTGGCTATCAAAATCATCCCCAAATCAAAGGTGATGATTCTACTTCTAAGTTGAGAATGTCTGTTCATCATCTTAATTATTGGATTAATGAATCTGGGTCGTTTATATTTAGGGTAATTTTATGGTGTCTCATGATTTTCTTGTGTAATGTGGGGAATTTTGAGGTTGATCTCTTATATTCTGCGAGTTTTTGCTTTAATGAAATGTTCGTGGAGCCCCCCCACTTCTTCCATTTGCATTTAAGATGATTGTGTGTGTGCTCAACCCAATATCATGTTTCAATGAAAGTTGAATGAGAAGAAAATAATGTGCAGATGACTACAGCAATAGCTATAGAGGATGTGAGAAGAGAAGTGAAAATACTGCGAGCTCTCACTGGACATAAGAACTTGGTGCAGTGCTATGATGCATACGAAGATGACGATAATGTCTACGTTGTCATGGAGTGAGTATATATTGTGCCTACCATCTAAACCGTCTTATAAAGCAAGGGGAGAACGCTTTTTATTCATTTTCTCCACCCAACCATTTTGTTTACTATGTTTGCTCTTCAGGTAATGTGAAGGAGGCGAACTTCTCGATCGGATACTTTCTTGGTCTAGTCTTATACAAACTCATTATATAGGATACCCCCACTTACATGTCTCCACATGAACAATTTAGATCAAATCATTTGCAACAATTACAAAGTGGGCCGTATCAATAGTGTTACTAGGATAAGGCACCTAACCTTATTCATATACTATAGACTCTTTAGGTTATTACAGGAACATGATCCTCTTGTATGTTAATCACATATTGTTCAAGATTATATTAATAACCTTGGATTTTCATACCATGGATAACAATTAAATTACAAATAAAATAATAAAAATTATTGTTAAAAACTAAATAATTAATTACAAGGGTTTAGGCCATAAATCCCAACACATGCTTTGTTCTAGCATGAAACATCGGATTTTCTACTAGGCGAATCGTAGATTGGTTGTCGCAATGAAGTGGTATTGGATTGTCAATTTTCTGGTGCCAATCTTTCATCAAGAGTTTCAGTCGTGTACTTTCTTGAGCTGCTCCAACCGCTGCTATGTACTCTACTTCTTTAGTTGACAATGATATAATTGGTTGTCTTTGGATATACCAATAAATTATTCTCAAATCGAGCTTGAACGCATACCTAGTGGTTGATCTCCGAGTATCATGGTCTCCTGCATAGTCAGCATCACAATATCCAACTAGCTTGCAGTCTTTGCTTCTTTTGTACAGAAGACTATGTTCAGTTGTACCTTTGACATATCTGAATGTCCATCGGGCTGCATCCAAATGAGGCTTTTTTGGACTTTGCATATACTAACTCATGATTCCAAATACATATGAAAAATTAGGCCAAGTTAAAGTTAGGTTGATAAGACTACCTACTAGTTGTCGATATGTCATTTTATCGTTCAACTATTTGCCTTCATGTGCACAAATCTTGGCAATCCTCTTCATCGGTGTTAAAACTTGCTTGCACTCTAACATATTGAACTTCTGAAGCATATCTCTTGTATACTTTTGTTGGCAGAACAAAAAAAAAAATTCTTCATTTGTGCAATCGACTTCTAAGCCCATAAGTGTTTAAGCTCTCCTAGCTCTTTCATCTTAAAGCTTATTGATAAATTTTCTCTTGTTTAATAAGTTTATCTTTCTTCATCCCCAATGATACTCAAATCGTCCACATAGACCAACACAATTGTCAATTTTCCTTCTCTTTCCTTAATAAACAAGCTTGAGTCGGCATGTGCAGCTGAATAATCACTTGGGTAAGAAATTCAACAATCTTACCATACCAAGCTCTTGGTGCTTGTTTCCATTCAAAAATAGCTTTTCTAAGCTTGCATACGTGATTAGGATTACCTGCACTCTCAAATCCCTTTGGTTGGTTCATATAAATCTCCCTGTCTAATTCTCCGTGCAAGAAAGCATCTTTCACATCCATTTGCCACAGTTTTCAATCTTTACTTGTCGTGAGTGCTAGCAGGACTCGTATGGTAGTGATCTTTGTCATAGGACTGAATTTTTATTCATAGTCTATTCCATATTGTTGAGAAAACCATCGAGCTACGAGTCGAGCCTTATATCTCTCGATTGATCCATTTGATCGTCACTTTATTTTGTAGACCCACTTGCAAGAGATACTCCTAGTCTTGGCACTAGTTTCGAAGTTTGATTTTGCTCCAAGACTATAATTTCTTCCTTCATTATTTGTTGTCAAGTCGTATTGTGTGATGCTTCTTCATATGTCTCTGACACTTTAACATTGTCTTCTATAATAATTGTACTGGTATACTTTGGATTTGATTTTATGATTCCTTTTGATTGTCTAAGTTGTTGAGGTGTCATTTCTTTTTCACCAGGTTCACTTGGTTAAGTCACTTCTTGCTCACCAACATTAGTGTCACTTGGATATTCAAACACATCATCACTTAATAAATGTGTACATCTTTCTCTCTCATCTTCTGTGGAAGAATTTCTCCAGTTTTCTCCCCCGTCTTTTATGGAAGAATTCCTTTAGTGTTGTCCAAGCCTGATAATACTTCCTTCTCTGAGGGTCATCCTGCTTCCATTGCACCACTCTGATCGTCAACCATGTGGTTTGACCATCTTGAATCAATGATCCAGTCATCATCATAATCGATATGTTCTTTCATCATCATCATGGGTGCTAATTCATCTTCTTTTATGGCACATATTGCCTCTACATCCCATTCCTCCTCCATCTCCATGTTAGAGGATGCCACGTTGCTTTCGACAGACTTTTTTTGGACCAACAATCCATGGACATGTGGCCCTTCCCACAATTGTTCAAATTTGTTTCCTTGAGTACTCTTGTTGTCGTTCTTTTGAGCTCTCTCAGGTTGTGCAGTCCTTGATGGCTTCTTCTTTGTATCCACGTTTGGTAGACAACTTATTATTGATCTAACTTTCACTTGTGTAGAGTGCTTCTTCTTCACCCTTCAATGTGATGCCTCCCATTTGTTTAGCCATGAAAAATTTTCGAACTCTACAAGTGATGGTTGAGTGGGCTATCTTGTACAACAATAATGAAACTTTTATATTCTGGTTGCAATCTATGGATAATGATTATCTTCATTTCATCTTCTCCAATTGCAGACTTCGAGTCTAGTTCAGTAATCTCTCGACAGATCGACTTGACTTTGTGGAAGTAATGAGCAATCGCATGTCACATTGTGAAATTGATAATAGCTCATCCTCTAGAAGTTGTAGCCTCGTATCGTTCTTCTTCGAGAACAACATCACAAACGTGTCTCGTGCTTCTTTCGGTGTCTTGTCATCCTAAATATGCTCTAACATCTCTTCTTCAATTATGGTTTTCAAGGCAAACATCACTTTGCCTGCTTTGATTCTCCAAGGCGCTGTTAGGATCCTCCTTTGGCGGCGTAGTTTCACTCCTGCCAACAATCTCCTTAAGATCATGTCCTTGTAAATAGGACATCATGCATATTGTCAAGTGTTGTAGTCAGCAGATCAACTTGACTTTGTAGAAGTACTGACCAATTGTCATGTCACGTTGTGAAGTTGATAATATCTCGTTCTCTAGAAATTGTAGCATTGTATCGTTCTTCTTTGAGAACAACATCACAAACGTGTCACATGCTTCTTTTGGTGTCTTGTCATCCCAAATATGCTATAACATCTCTTCTTTGATTGTGGTTTTCAAGACAAACATTGCTTTGCCTGTTCTGATTCTCCATTTGCGCAAGGCGCCGTTAGGATCCTCCTCTGGCGGCGTAGTTTCACTCCCACCAACGATCTCCCAAAGATCATGTCCTTGTAAATATGACATCATGCATGTTGCCCACGTGTTGTGATTGTTGTTGAGTTTCTTGATTCCTACAACGAAACGATTTGGAAATCACCCCACTTCTATGACTGAAATTAGGCATGTTGAGTGCAATGAACATGAATTATTAGGTGAATTATCTGAGTGTGCGATCATGCTTTAAATTTTCGTTGTACGTATGCATATGTTTAATTCATATCGGAATTATGTACTCCGCGTTCTAGGTGCTTGATGGATGACTTCGCCCCATTGAGCATGAACTTCGCGTTCCAAGTGCTTGATGGAGACCATCGCTCCGTTAAGCTTGCGTGTCTAATTTGCATGAATTACATATTATGATGTTAGATGACGACTGCATGCACACTCTGTAATTTTCTATGACACATTACTAGGATAAGCCTAGGGATTTGTTGTCAGGAGTGACAAGTCACTCTAGCTAGATCTAACCTTCTCCTAGGAACCAAGTAGATTACCACGGGGATGAGGTACCTTAGGAGTATTCTTAGACTGCTAGTTGTGTGAACGGTATCTATAGCTTTTTGGGAGGACTAGGGGTTCCTGATCAGTTCTTACTGTTCCTAACCATTTCACATGGGAAATGTGTCCCCACGTTGTACGACTCATTAGCTGCATGGGAACGGGTTGACTCGTGCCCCCCATAGGGGGACTATATGGGTTTAAGAGGTACTCAGCACATCCCTAGGCTAGACACCATGTAGTCTCAGATAGCCATGCAGAGGTAGTGCCTCATAGAGAGATACTAGCCATTTCAGCTCGGCATAAGGAACTCTTAGGTATCAAATGAAAGAATGATAAACCAGTGAAACTCCAAGGAGTAAGTCCTCGGGGGCAAGCCCCAAGGGACTAAGACTAGAACCAGACGTCCTAAAGCCAATAAGGAGACTGGAAATTCTATTAAGTTAGGATAAGATGAGAGCCTACAAGTAAGTGGTTTACTGAGTATAATTTTTATACTCATCTTGCTATGTTTTCCTTTTTCAGGAGCAGGAGGCGTTAGTCAAGGGTGGGCGTGATAGAGACGAAACCATCACAAAGAAATGTGTTGTCCCGGGGCGTCAGTCGAGTCTTTATTTTGTAATTGTATTTTTTTCATATTTTGTTTCCAAACTATTATTGTTTTATTTGTCGTTTCGAAATTTTACAAATAAATGATTTTTTTCCTCTATTGCGATTTCAAATTATTTTCTTGCATTCATGTGTCGTTGTAAGTCACGGCTTGTATAAAATATTGGGTTGTGACAAGCTCAGTAGACAGCTTGCTAGTAGTTCATAGTTCGTTATCAAGTTTTAATTATCTTAGTTAAATTGTTTCGATATCTTATTCTCATTTGGAGATTTGTTTCCATTATATACACCTAGACTACACCCTCGGTTTACTCTCTTCGTTATTGGTTCGGAACTCAACAAAAAAATATTGATTAAAAAATATTTATTTTTATTGTATTTGAAGGAGAAGACATATAGGTCTTTTTTTACAGTAACTCTTAAACTATCTTCCACCTCTCTTCTTCACCGGAGTCCTCTCTTCTTCACCGGAGTCCTCTCCGTGCGATCTCTATTTCCCTCCCTTCACTGCGAAACTTTCGGCGACATACTCACCGAGACCATCCAGGCGGCGCGGCACGACGGCGAAAAACAGGCCTGCGCCAGCTCCTATTTTGCGAGGTTTGCAAGCATCTTGATCTCCGAAATGACCTGCTTAGCATTCATCTCCGTTCCTAAAGATTTTTGAGAATCGAAATTCTGCAGGACCTCAATACAGGCGTTGTTGATAATTAGTGAGTTTTTCTTCACTATATGAGCTAATTGAAGCCGCTTGATTTTAGATTTTGTGGCACCATCTTGATTTTAGTAGAACAAAGGACCTGTTTAGGTGAAGTAAATTTTCATTTTGTTTAGTATAATTTTAATTTCAGTTTTGATTAAGTTAATTTATTTTTTCTGTTAGAATTTGTCGATAGTTTACGTTCATTGGTTGTAAAAAGTTGCGTTCATTCTTAGGGATGGGAACTGCGACCATTATATGATCAAACTGGCTGTATTGATGATCCCATAGGTACTTATTGAACTTATTCTCTCGAACATTGTCAGCTAAATGATCAAGGCTAAGGATCTGAATGGTACAGAAGCTTGATGTTCCTTTCCATTCTTATTATTGTCCTTGATGTTCCTTTCCATTCTTGTTATTGTCCTGCTCCATTTTTTTTTCTTTTTTCGTCCTATCAGAAAAGAAATTTGTGTTGTTGGTAGGGATAGACTCATAGCAAGCCATTGCATGAGGGTACAAGAAAGAAAATTATGATATGTGCTTTATATTGACCATGCTCGGAGTTGATTATATTTATATCATATTGTTGTCATGTATTGTACAGCGCAATTGTTCAAATCGACCTATTATTCATTTGCCTCCGTAGGAATGGGGATGTTGGGTTTAGGTGATTTGGTGCTCTATCATTATGCTATCTGCTATTTGGAACGGTGTTTTCTTATCGGGAGAACATTTCCTGCCTTGATCTAGACCTTTTTTCATATCTATTGTCAACTACAGTCTATTCATGCCCTCATTTGCATGTATTGTTAACTTTTTTTTGTCTGTTCTGATAGGTTTCTAAAGACGAAAAGCTGTTTCAGTCAGATATAGAAATTGGGCCAAAACAATATTTCGTATAAGATATTTGGGTTCACTGATTCGTGCGTTGCTAGTTCGATGACACAGAAATTGATCAAGGGATCAAGATTACTCGTTTTTCACCGAAATGTCTGCTTAATACATTTCCAATTGCTTAGTACTCACCGGCCAAACGAATTTGACCGTGTGAGTCCTCATAAACAACATCAAAAGCTCCGTGAGCCCATTCCTTTCGTCACCGATGTTAAAGAGGTAAAGGACCCATGTGAGGCATTGGCTCTCTTCGAGGATTACCATGAAAGGGGATTCAAACACCACTATCCTTCCTACTCATCTCTCATCTACAAGTTGGCCCGTTCTCGTAGATTTGAAGCTGTCGAGATGATTCTTGATCATTTACAAAATAGGAACATTCACTGCAATGAGACCCTTTTTGTCGCTTTGATTCAACATTATGGGAAAGCCCATTTGGTTGAGAGAGGTATTGACCTTTTCCATCGAATGCCTTCCTTTAATTGTTTTCGTAGTCGGCAGTCCTTGAACGTATTGCTTAATACACTAGTTGACTGTGACCAGTTTTCTAAAGCAAGTGAAATCTTCCAGCAGGCTTATGAAATGGGCTTCCGTCCTAATTCAGTGACCTATAATATAATGATCAAGGGTTGGATCAAGAAGGGTGAGTGGGAACAAGCGTGTAACCTGTTCAACGAAATGCTTGAGAAAAGGGTGCGACCTAGTGTAGTGACATACAATAGTCTTTTGGGGCTTTTGTGTAGAAATGGTGAAATGGACACAGCACTGTGTTTGTTTGAGAACATGATTCAGAAAGGACATCATCCAAATGCTGTTACTTATGCATTGTTAATGGAAGGATGGTGCTTAACTGGTAAATACAAGGAAGCCAAAAAGTTGATGTTTGATATGGAGTTTCATGGTTGTAAACCGCGGCCTGTGAATTATGGCGTTTTAATGACACATCTTGGAAAGACAGGGAACATCGACGAGGTGGAATCTTTACTAAATGAGATGAAGAAGAGACGTTTGAAGCCTGATGTTGTGACTTATAATATTCTTGTGAATTACCTGTGCAAGGAAGGAAGGGTTGGGGATGCTTATAAAGTATTGGTTAAAATGCAAGTTGGAGGTTGTAATCCTAATGCAGCAACTTATAGGATGATGATCGATGGGTTTTGTAATGCAGGGGACTTCGATGGGGCTATGAAGGTTTTGAATTCCATGTTGATGAGTGGGCACTGTCCTCGTTTACAAACTTTTGCTTCTTTAATTGTTGGCCTTTTGAGAGGCGAAAACAGTGATTATGTTTGCTTTGTCTTGGAGGAGATGGAAAAGAGACAGATGAGGTTTGACGCTGAAACTTGGAGGACTTTGGTTATGGATGCTTGTGGCCAGGATGTTGAAATTGGCAGCCGGATAAGCGAGTTGATCTCCTCCTTACACTGAATCTGCAATGAAACAATGGTAACATTTATAAGTCTTTGTATATTTTACTGTTATATAGTGTTGAATTCGATGTTCACATACCAATCATCAGGGTTCTTGAAATTTTCATTCATTTCTTGTTTTATTTGAAGTGATATTAATGCTGGAAACTGCATATTCGGGTTAGGGATCTTCTTGGTTGTGCTTCATTTTTATTTAGTTGAGAAGATTATAAAGATTTAGGTTAGGTAGGTCTGTGTTGATAACCATTTAAGGTTGGCATAATGATTCAACAAGTTTGATTCACATTCAAAGTTTGTAGATTTATTTTTATTGTTGTTCGTGTTCTTGGTATGCCATTCGTGTTCTTCATTCCTTGAGATCCTAAAAAATGTGTGCAATTGTCTTCTTGTGTTAACCGCTATCTTTATAATTATGTGATATTGTCGATTTTGAGTATAAACTTTTATAACTTTATCTTTGATTTCATCTAAAAAGTTCCAACTAAAAGTTTCATATTGATCGACGATATTTGTTTTCCCTCGTGTATCATGAGCAAATCCATTTCTCCCTTCTAGAGAGATTTTGCCCAATAATGGAACTCCCATTTCTTAAGCTTGATTGAATGTTAGCGTTAGAAATTTTGAAGTGAAAGTGAGGGTGAAAGGATGAAATTTTTTATGGTTTACATGTAATTTAATGATACGAAGAAAAAAGACAAAAAAAAAAAAAAAAAGAAGACTAATTTAGCCCTTTCTATAATGACCTGATTTTGGTCGAGGTCGAAAAATGTAATCACATGGTAGGATATATGTTTTTATAAAAATAGGTTAGATGTATAGTACTTTTCTATACATATCTCATGCATGTGCACATGTATGTATCCACTAGGCATGCTCCTATATGTACACCTGAGTCTGACTACGGACTAGTGCATGCCCACGTTGCCAGAAGCAGAAGCCATGGAGGAAAAGAAGTTTTCACATAATATCATAGTAGATGCATTTGTACTAATCATAACGAGGAAATACCTTGATGCACGTGACATACAAAATGCATGAATTTCATAGTTTCAAATCATGACATATACTTATGATGCAAATCATACCTCTATTCTTTTCATGATATAGCGTTCTTATGAAACATGCATCTGTATACTGGACATATCTTTTATGATTAATATATATGACTTATCAATGTCTCGTAGGCATAGAGTGAACATGTTGGCATAATATAAGTGGCATGACATGTGTAAGTTCATGTATCACATAACATTGGTATCACAACATAGTTTCATAATATAGCATAATCATATCATAGCATAAATTGTCACAAGACCACATCCAAATAAGAGTAATTTTAATGATATGATAGTTGGAAAAAAAAAAAAGAACTGAAGTTACTATGTATACGAACAAGGTGAACCTTATTTTTCAATGACTCAATCATAAGAACATTAAAGTTGAATGTGTTTTTCTTAGAGCAATTTTATGTTGGGTGATTTTCCAGAAATTTTTCTAGTAAGCATGTAAATGAGGATAAAATATGCTCAAAAGACTTAGGTTAGTCGATGCATTGCAATACATAGGGGTATGGAGGAACGCTCATGAAGCGTTTGTGTTATTACAATTTGGAAGAATATAATGTTGAAGTTGAAGATGTGCCTCAAAATAAAGGACCAAGTTCGTTAAGAGAGAGAGAAACTCAACAAGGGCTTAATCAGACTACGCCCCCCATAACAGCCTACGATCACGTTCACCCTAGAGGCTCTACCGTCCTTCATAAAGACAACTATGAAAGCACGGACAAGCTAGATAATTTATGCTATCTTGACCACCTAAGGAATGTACGCATCTAGAAGTTGAACTATGAATGTGTACCGTGGCTTTAAGAGGTTTGGATCCACCCAATATAAGGTGGATCCATGACTAGAAGCTACTTCCCATAAAATTTTAAGGTCTATTGCGTCACTTACATGATAAATAAAAGTCGCGTTAGGGTGGAAAACTACCTTCATACGTATGAAAGAAATGGTCATCCCTTGGACCTGATTTAGGGAGACCTTTTTCGAGAAGTACTACCCCATCGTAGCGATGTGCAAGAACCAAAAGCGTTCCTAAGCCACAAGCAAGGAGATAAGAGGGTGGAAGAATACGACTCAGAATTCACCTAGCTATCTAGGTTCTCCCCTGAGCTTGAAGACACAGAGTGAAAGAAGACTCTTCACTTCATTATGGACTTAAGAGAGAATATACAACGACAAATAATTGTCCATGCCTTTTAAAAGTTGACACTCTATTGGATATTAGGAGTGTACATTGAACTCGACAACTGAACCAACCCAACCTGAATTATAGGGATTGAGTTGGGTTGAGTTACCATTTCAGGTTAGATTTGGTTAATTTTCTGAAAACCGAATAAATTCGTTTCGGATTTTGGGTTCATTAGACAAATTTTCAGGTTTACTCAAAACAAACAATATCTTATAAAATATATTAAGGTATTACAATCTTACACGTGCGGGTTCAATTCCAACTTTATACGCTATCTTATAAAATATTTTTTTATTCCAACTTTATAAATAATGTGTTTAAAAATAGTATAAAATATATTACTATTTTTAATATTTTTAAATATATTGTTTATAATAGGAATAAACTAACAAACAACCATGTTTGGTCTTAAGTCTTAAGTGACAGTTCATTGATTATGATTTATGCATACATTTAGATTATATTGAAGTAAAAATATATTGAGTTACCGTAAATGAATTTAAATATCAGAGTTTTATCAAAAGTTATCTAAAATGTTTTAACCGTACTAGTGTCTACTGGAGCTTCTGATTATTTTACGAGTTCTCTAACACTAAAATAGTGGACACAAAATTAGATTTGTAAAAAAATTAGTTTCATTAGATTTATAATAGTAGGTAGATTTTGTTCCAAAACAAGTAATTTTAAGTTCTAATTTATTTATTATTTGTAATATTATATTATAATTTATATTTTTATGATTTTTTTCGGAAACTTACCGACATCTGTCATGTATAAATAAACAAGTCCAACTGAAGTAAATTATTTTTTTGTTATGCATTATTTCTTTAAATTAATTATTTTTTAATTTTATGATCTATCGTTATATTTCATGATTTTTAAAGTAATAAATTGCTCGAGCTGCTATTTAATTGTTTTATCTTTATTACAATGTTGAATTATGTAGGATGTTACAATTTTAGCTGGTTATTGACGAAAATTTGTTTGTTGGAATAATTATAGATTAATTTGTATTTGTTTGTGAACTCTTACTGTCTTTTGTTGTGGATTATTTATGTTGGTGACAACAAAAATTGAGGTGAGATTGAGAGGAGTGATTTGAATGATTGAAAGGGAGGTCATTTTATAGGACGGGATTTCATTGCTTCCCGAAGTTGGTTGAGATTTTTGTGGATGAAATTGCTTCCCGAAGTTAGTTGGGATTTTTGTGGATGAAATTGCTTCCACCTCCTCCTTCTTCCGTGTAACTAAATTCAAATTACTACTTTTTCTATTATTAACTTCAACGCCCCCCTTAAACTGAATTCTGCAGAAATCAGTTTAGGACTTCATCTTCTCGATATACATCTTGGATTCTGCACATCCCCATCTTTCTTCTAAGCTTCTCGAACAATGGTTGTTTCAAGGGTTTTGTGAATAGGTCTGCGATTTGTTCATCACTTCGTCAAAAGTTGAGTTCAATAATGTCTTCTTTACACAAATTACGCAAGAAATGAAATCGAACATCGATGTGCTTACTCCTTCCATGCAACATCGGATTTTTAGACAACTTAATAGTTGACATATTATCACAATATATAACCGTCGTACCTGGTTGCTTCTGATTAAGAATTTCAAGCATTTTTCTTAACCAAATTGCTTGGCACGAGCATGCTGCTGCTGCCACAAATTCTGCTTCTGTATTTGAGAGTGTTACAATAGGTTGCTTCTTTGAAGACTAGCAAATAGCTCCTGAACTCATCATGAAAATACTTCCTTAAGTACTTTTACGATCATCTATATCACATGCATAGTCGCTATCTGTATAGCCAACCATCTTCAGATCATCTCCTTTCTTGTAGAATACCCCAAATCAAAAGTTCCTCTCACATAACGAAGTATTCTTCTTGCTGCATTGAGATGTTTTTCCGTTGGATGCTCCATGTAACGACTTATCATACTAACCGCATACATGATGTCTGGTCTTGTTGAAGTTAGGTACATCAAACTTCCCACAATTTATTTGATGTACCTATTATCAACCTCTCGCCCTTCAATATCCTTGTGCAACTTCAAATCCAATTCTAATGGAGTTCCAAATCTGCGCTCATCCAATTTAAATCTTTCAAGTAATTCTTGAGCATATTTCTTGTGACAGATAAAGTTACCTGCGGGAGTTTGAGTAACTTCTACTCCAAGAAAATATCTCATCAAACCAAAATCTGTCATTTCAAATTCCTTCATCATGCTCTTCTTAAAAAATTCAAACATTTCTTCATTATTGCCGGTAAATATTAAATCATCAACATATAAGCAAATAATGATAATGTTATCTCCCTTTTCAGTTTTTACATACAACGTATGTTCATACGGGCATTTAGTGAATCCCATCTTTTCAAAATGAGAATCAATGCGACTGTACCATGCCCTCGGAGCTTACTTCAAACCGTACAAAGCTTTCTTCAACCTGTATACTTTTTCCTCTTTATCTTTTTGAACAAAACCTTCTGGTTGCTCCACATATACCTCTTCTTGAAGCTCTCCATGTAAGAATGCCGATTTCACATCAAGTTGATAAATAGGCAAAGATTTTCGTGCTGCAATAGAAATTATGAGCCTGATAGTATCTTGACGTGCTACTGGTGCAAATACCTCCTTATAATCAATTCCATACTTCTGCTTGTATCTTTTTGCAACGAGTCATGCCTTGTACTTATCCACCTCACCGTTTTCATTCAACTTGGTTTTGAAAACCCATTTTACTCTAATTGTTTTTTGCCCTCTAGGAAGATCAGTGAGCTCCCAAGTCTTGTTCTTCTTTGTGGATTTGATTTCACTGTCCATAGCTTCCTTCCATTTCTTCTACTTTACCTCTTCTTCATAGACAATTGGATCACTATCCACAAAGAATGTAAAATAACCACTATCACTTGATTCATAGTCCATCTCATAATCAATCATTCAATTTGGTCTCTTTCTTGTTCTTGGATTTCTTTGATTATGATCATGATCTTCTTCTAGTGGTTCTTCTTGTTGAGCTTGTGATAAGCTCTCTCCATGCTCATAATGAGGCTGAATAGGGGCTTCAGTTTGTTCTTCTTCAAGATCGACAGGAATTTGCTGATTCACAGTGATCTTTTTTTTCCATGTCCAAGTCTTCTTTTCGTCAAAGACTACATCACGACTTACCACCACCTTCTTTGTCAAAGAATCATAAAGCTTGTACGCCTTAGAGGTCTCGCTTACTCCAAGGAACACACACTTCAAACTCTTGTCCTCAAGTTTCTTCCTTTTCTCATCAGGAACATGTGCATATGCTATGCACCCAAAGATTCTAAAGTGGTCTACTGCAGGTTTTCTTCCGCTTCATGCTTCTTGTGGAGTCATATCTCTAACAGAAAAAGTAGAGCTCCGATTGAGAATGTGAATGGACCACACGACAGCTTCTGGCAAGAATTTCTTCGGGACTTCTCCTTTATTTAGTAAACTTCGAACCATGTTGAAAATGGTTCTGTTTTTTCTTTCAGCCACACGATTTTGTTGTGGTGTATGTGCTATTGTTAACTGCCTCCTTATGCCTTCTCTTCACAAAATTTAATAAACTCGTTCGAGCAGAACTCTCCACCTCTGTCAGTTATTAAAGCCTTGACTCTTCTTCCAGTTTCCATCTTCATAGTAGCACAAAATTTTTTGAAGCAATCAAAGGCTTTTGATTTGGCGTGCAAGAAATAAGTCCATGTTTTTCGACTAAAATCATCGATGAGGGTCATGAAATATTTGTTGCTACCATTTGATGCTGGAGAGATGGGACCTCATCGATGAAGGTCATGAAATATTTGTTGCTACCATTTGATGCTGGAGAGATGGGACCACATATGTCTCAATGAATCAACTCCAAAATTGCTTGAGCTTTTCTTGATTTCCGGATGGAAAAGAATTTCTTTCATGTTTGCTACTACACAGCGCTCACAAATTTCTATTGGAGGAGTAATATCTGGCAACCCAGTTACCATCTTCTTTTGAAGACAACGTCTTTAATACTCTGAAGTGTAGATGACCATACCTAAAATGTCAAAGCCAGGTGGTATCTTCTTTCTTCACCATCAAACTTTTGACGACGATATTTAACGTCAACGAATATAGACGGTTGGTGGTCATCTTCATCTTAGCAATCGATCCTCTTTTGGAGTCATAAATCTCACATTCATCATTTTGGAATGTGATCACATACCCTTTTTCTTGTAACTGACCGATAATAAGTAAGTTGGCCTTCGGATCAGGAATGTAGAATACATTAGAAATAGACTCTACAAAGCTATTTCTAGTCTTGATATCAATAGTTTCTTTCTCCATCATTTGGATAGTTGAATTGTTGCCAAGAGAAACCGTAGTATGAAAATTTTCATCAAGAGTTGAAAAAATTTCTTACAACTTGTCGTATGGTTGCTGCATCCAGAGTCTACGATCCATACACCTTGATCTGCAACCTTCATAGCATGGAATGACATTAACAATGTTTCTTCTTCTCTTCTCTCCACAAAATTGGATTGATCTCTTTTCTCCTTTTGGAGTCTGGTATAGCATTCATCTTTGTAATGTCCAAGACGTCCACATCTATAGCATTCCACCGTAGACTTGTCAAAGTGTCTCTTGCCTTTGTTGTCATAATCGTTTCTGACTAGATCTACTAACCTGCCAACATCTCCACTTCTTTCTCGACTGCCTCTCCCACGACCTCTGCCTCTTCTTTGCCCTCTACCTCTAGGGCTTGAAGTTTCATCTCGTGTGGATATCTTTAAGGCTGTCATCTCCTCTATTGCACTTGTACGATTAAGTCTCTGTTCATGTACTAACAGGGAGCTTTGGAGTTCATCTATTTGCATCTCTTCGACATTGTTTGCTTCTTCGATAGAACATACAATGTAATCGAACTTTGGAGTTAGTGATTGCAAAATCTTTTCTTCGACCGTAACATCCGTGATTGAATCACCATACATCCTCATTTTATTTACAAGACTCATAACCTTGTCAATATAATCATTCACCGTTTCTCCCTTTTGCATTTGGAGAATTTCAAAGTCTCTTCTAACTGCTTGAAGTTGAGCACGCTTTACTCTTGTTGAGCCTTGATACTTCCTCCTCATAGAATCCCACATTTCTTTGAATTTCTTCTAAGCATTGTTTCCAAGATAGTCCTATCAATGGACTAAAATAAATAGTTCTTGACCTTCAGGTTCTTCAACTTCGATGCTGCCAACAGTTTCTGTTGACCAGCTGAGAGTACCTCGCCTTCATTTGGCTCTTCATAACCCGTCTCTACCATATCAAAAAACTCATTTGATCTGAGAAAATTTTCCATCAACATCGCCCAATGATCATAGTGACCATCGAACCTCGGGATGGCGGGCTGAACGTAGCTCTCAACTTGTTTTTCTGCTGCCATTCTTACTGCTGCAAGATCGCTCTGATACCCGTTGTTGGTGACAACAAAAATTGAAGTGAGATTGAGAGAAGGAGTGATTTGAATGATTGAAAGGGAGGTCATTTTATAGGACATGATTTCATTGATTCCCCGGACTTCGTTCGGATTTTTGTGGATGAAATTGCTTACTCCTCCGTAGTAACTAAATTCAAATTACTACTTTTTCTATTATTAGCTTCAACAATTTATTGGGAGTAAGTTCTGCTAATTAAGGGAATAATCATGGATTTAGAAATACATCTTCATTGGTATGAGGCTTTTTGGGAAGTCAAAGCAAAGTGATCCGAGGTTATGCTCAAAGTGGACAATATCATACAATCGTGGAGAGTCGTGATTTCTAATATGGTATTAGCGTTAGGCCTTAAACTTAGTTAGTCATGACAATAGAATCCTTAAATATCGAACAAAGAATTGTGAATTGGAAAGGTGTAGTCAAAAAATGACTAAAGTACCATAAAAAATAGGTCCAGGAGCGAGAACTTCTCATTTCTTCTTCGAGAAAGCTTACTTCTTGAGAGTCAAAGAAGAATCATCTTAAAGATGGAGGAGGTGTCTCCGAGTAGGGGCTGGCTATTGGACGGGACCCGGGTTATCAAGGCTCAAAATGACAAGGGCTTCTCATTGAGCAAGCTCAATGCTTTAAGAGAACGAGAGCCGCGGTCCTACTTTCACTCTCTTCTTTCTAAAGAAGCCTGCTCTTGATCTGTGCGGGATCTCTCGCTGCATTCTCCATTGACTCGAGACCATTTTTTAAATCATTTGGAAAACACAGCATAAAAAAAAAAAAAATAATAAATAAATAAATTGTCTCATTCGTTTTCTTCGAACTTGTGAACTTTTTTGTAAGATCGATATCTTCATCGGTCACTCAGATTCTGGAGGCTCCACCATCGCTTCCGAATCCGTCGAATAGTCGTAGACTAAGACTCTTCTCCAAGCTTGCAACAGTGTTCTCGCCCTCTCGGAGGTTTTCACTCAGACGCTTTTGTCAATTGCCATGTTTATAGCAAAAATAATAAGATGTTGCCGGCTTTTTTAGCATTTAACGACGAAATTGTTGGAACAACAGTTTTCAAATTTCATTGCATCGTTCTCTGTTTACGATGTTAAGTAGGTTTGATGTTTCTGAACTTTGTTTTTCACTTTTGTGTTTCTTACTTGTAATTGAACGGGAAAAGAAATTAGGATTCAGCTGTTCTTTTTGTAGTTTTTTCTTTATTTTCTTTCACCTTGCGGTTCTGTTCGTGGTTGTGATTTTGTTTGAGCTTTGCGCAATAATAATTTTATCATTATTAGCGCTTGAGTACTATCTTAACGAACACTGTCCTTTGAAATTTTCATCTACACAAAGCAGAATATCAAGTATTCAAGTATTCTGCAATGTTTACTCTCTTTTTTATCGTCTTCTTTTTGGCAATTTGTCGTCGGATGGTTTTCGGTTCGTAACTGATTTTTCTGTTAAAAAGTAGCCTGCATTGTTTGTGAATCCATTATAATATGGCTATTGTTTTGGTGCGTTCTAAATATTTGTTCTTGAAGATTGCGTAGGATCCTACCTTATATAACTAATGCCTAAACTATACTGACCATCATCCTAATGGTTGTTACAACTTCATTCAAGTTAAGAATAATGCCCTGGCAAGTTAATTGGTCCACAATCACTTCTGAACTTATTGATGTTGCACGGAAAAGCTAGCATTCTGATATTTATTATTATTTTCTAACAGGTCGAAAATATGAATGACCAAACCAGTATCAGCAGTGATCGTTTGAGGACAAATTGGACACCGGCAATGGAGCAATATTTTATTGATCTTATGTTAGATCAAGTGCATAAAGGCAACAGGATGGGTCATACATTCAATAAACAAGCTTGGAATGACATGCTGATGATGTTCAATGCTAAATTTGGGTCTCCATATGACATTAATATCTTAAAATGTCGTTACACTAATTTATGGAAACAATTTAATGACATAAGGAATCTCCTTGATAATGAAGGGTTTTCTTGGGATAATACTAGACATATAATCATCGCAGAGAATAATATTTGGGACAGCTTCATCAGGGTGAGTAATGTTTGGACTGACATTTTCTAATCTTCATTATAAATATGAAATTAAATGATACTATTTATTTGCAGGTCCATCCAGATATTCAGTCATACAGGAACAGGTCTCTGATAAATTTCAATGATTTGTGTTTGATATATGCACATACTACTGCTGATGGGAGATATAGTATGTCGAGCCATGACTTAGAATTTGATGATGACATGATGGGATTGTGTATAGGTGTGTTTCTGTGTACTTTAAGAAACCTACAAAATTTGTACAATTTTTGTTGGAATTTGAAGTCTAGCTTTTCAGATTTAAATTATATGGAGCCTGCCTCTGTCATCATATATTTATGCTTGTGGGGTAGCCGAGTCTGAGGAGGATGCATAACCAAAGAAATGTAGAAAAAGTTTTAGTAATATTTTTATTATTCAGGTGTCAATGTGGAGATAAGGGAGCTCTGCATATCTGGAAAATAGACAAAAACTTAGAAGGTCTACGAAAAAGATTTTATTCCGATAACACATCAACGTGTGGAAATGAGAAACACGTTTCCTGCCTTGGCCTATTTTCAGAGTCAAGCATCAGTACCTTCTGTTCTGCCCGTTTATTCTGGGTAATAATATATCAGTTTTTGTGAATGTGATCTAATCTAGCAATTTCTAGGAGAAAACGAGATTGGGATGTTTTAACTGATGAATCACGGGAAGTTTTCCCACCCCTTTTTATAGATGTTAAAATTATTCACCTCTGGCTGTGGTGTGCTAAGTTGCTAAGAAGCAACAGGATCCTCTTTTGTCATATTTATTTCTTCTTGTTATCAAGGAAGTATTTTCATCCTTAATCCTTCAATGTTTGCTTGTTTATTTAAAGAACTATCATATTTTGATGAATTGAAGTTAATATCATTACTGCTGTAGATGCTGGCATGAATGGCCTTGCCCCTGTGAATAAAGAGAATTCAAGAACAGACTGGACTCTTGATATGGATCAGTACCTTGTGAAACTTATGATCGACCAAGTAAGAAAAGGCTGCAGGATAAATGGTACTTTCAAGAAGCAGTCATGGAGAGATATGATCACTATCTTTAATGCTGAATTTGGCTATCAGTATAAGAAGAGTTTCTTGAAACATCGTTATAGGAAATTGAAAGCATACTATATTGATTTAAGGATTCTACTCGAGGCCAGAGGCTTCTCATGGGATGAGAAACAACAAATGGTGGTAGCCGATGCTGGCGTGTGGGATGATTATATCAAGGTGCATGGTTGTTTTTTAACTTTGTATAAATAAATTAACTATATCATATGTTATATCTACTACTGCCAATGTAGGCAAATCCAGATGCCTGTGCATATAGAAAAAGGACCTTGCTAAATTTTCTAGATTTGTGTTTGATCTATGATGATACGATGAGCAATGGGAAATGTGATCATATGCAGCAATTGAAGCATTTTGAATGTGGCTTCTTACCTCAAGATACTGGTAAGGCTTACATAATGCTCGGTTGAAACTCATTTATTCATTAAAATTAGTACTTTCAACCATGTAATTCTTGTTTTAATTATACGAGAGTTGGCAAGAAAAAAATGAACTGGCTGTGAACTCCTAAGAAGCACAGACACTTTAGTTTGACCAACGTGTTTGTCTCCATGTTAGACACTTCTACACATATTGAAACATGTTAGCATAATATAGATGTGTTAGACTCTAGTTTTGTAAAGTCAATATGGACTCAACAGTGCTTAGACGTGTATTGAACATTTATTAAGGATACTAAATAGACACATAATAATATAGGACAAAAACAATAAATTTTGAGAGTTCAATATATCAAACTAATTTTTAAGCATATAAATATTTTGTTCTTGTATATATATTTTTTAGTTTATATTTTGATAATTGCTTTTTATTAAAAAAATGAGTTATTTCCATGTTTGTATCCTAGATTTTTTTTTTTTTTTTAAATGTCATGTTACCATGTCTGTGTTGTGTTCTTTTCATGTCTCATATCTGTATTCGTGCTTCTTAGATGCTTTCAATGGTCTGATATATTTATGATAGCTGATATCTCCCGTAAATGCAAGAAACAATATATATCTATTATGCCTGTTGCTAGAATGATTTTGGTGCTCATTCAATAATGCAATATTATTGAAAGTAAGACCTTGACTTCTGGTCTTATGGCATCTTTAAATCAGTTATCATCATGATTAGTTATCTTCTCTTAAATTTGTGAATGTCTTTCTTGTTGAAGGAGAAAACGTCCATTCCCATGCTGACAATGATTCTTCAAGCATGCACTGGTCTCTTGAAATGGATGGTTATTTCATTGATCTTATGCTGGAGGTTGTGGGTAAAGTGAAGAATATTGATTACAATGATGATTTTATGTGGACTAACATAATTGGCTCGTTCAAGGAAAGATTTGGACTGGTATTTAACCAAGATTCCTTTCGGAGGCATTTCAAAAGTTTGGAGAAGCAATACTTTGATTTAAAAAATATTCTCAAGCAGAGAGGATTTTGGTGGGATGAAAGACGACATTCAGTAATTGCATACGATGATACTTGGGCTGCATATATTAAGGTGAGCTTTTCCCTTTCTGCCTCTAGTTCTTCAATTCCAATTGCTACTGTCTAACCCTTACAAACGTAGGAACACCCACATGCAAAATCATACAGAACTGGTCCAATACCTAGCTATAATGATCTGTGCTTGATTTATGGAAATTCAGTTCCTGATGGAGGGCAGGGGCCAAAACAATTTGATCAAGGAATCGCTAGTGGTGGCAAAGGTGAGTTTTTTTCTTTCGTTTTTGGTAAATTATCACCAACTCTAAGAACTCAAAACTGTTTTGTGGGTTTAAATACTAAAATCAATTTTGATTAATCCTCTCATGTGTAGGCTTGTTTATTTATTTTGATTCGAGTTATAGTCTGTGCATGGGTTGGAAGTGTAAACTCCTTTATTTATTTTTATTTTTGATTGAGTACTAATCTGTGCCTGGGAGGAAATGTAAATTCTTTATTTTTTTTATGAAATTGTTGCAAAGATAAGGAAAAAAAAAAAAAAAAGAAAAGAAAAATTTATTGTCGTCATAATTTACCAGATTATTGACCTCTATGAGTTTACAAAAAGAAGAAAAGAACCATACCACAGTTCATTATGTTAGGGGAATAGTTGGAACAGGAACCTAAGAGAGCACCAATTAGAATAACGAAGTTTTGCTAATTTTATAGCATTTTTTGAAGCTTTTCCTTTGTTAAACAAGTTCAAACGTACATTTAATACAATCTCCTAAATGCATTCATCCATAAAATATTAGTTTGCTTTTAATTAATGTGGAGTGTCCACATGGTAAATCTCATTATTCTCCATGGTGAATGTTGTCAGCCCCTAACTACACTTAAATATGAGAAGCATATCCTACCAACAACTCATACTGTAGAGGCACCAAAATGGCAAACAATCTAGTGGTTCCTCTCATTGCATAATATGCATCTACTGAGATTAATCAGCCTACAGTCGTACCTCCTAATCCTTCCTTGAGTTGTATTTATCCCTAGCTTGCATATCAGGTGCAAATTTTGTTGATCTCTGCAGGCCACTTTCTGTTTCTCCAGCGACAAAGAACTTTTCTTGCTCATTCTCATGGGCACTCCTGTTAAATGCCAGATGAATTAGAAGTTCAAACTTTTATATCCTCTTTTCAATTCGCACACAGTCACGTATGATTCCACGTAAATCCCTGGCATCCTCCTTTCCCATTAGGTTCTTTCCGTCTTATTCTAGATTCTAGTGCTATGTTTTCCCATAAGTTTTAAGTGGTTAGGATATGGTTAATTTATTTTTATTATATTACAAGATAGTTTCAAATTTTCAACTTGGTGTCTAATAGGTCCGTGAAGATGGAAGCTCCCTAAAATTTTAATTTCAATAGTTACTGGGTCCTAAACTTTAAAGAATTGTTCAATTAGTTCTTAAACTTTCAATTTTTTGTCAATAGATCTATGAAGTAATTGAATTTAAACATTTAATTATATGTCTAAAAAATCTATGTATTTAAAAAATTCCAGTAGGTCAAGGATGTAATTGGCTCAAAATTGAAAATTGAAAGGCCTATTAACACAAAATTGAAAGTTTAAGGATCTATTAAATCCTTTTTAAAATTTGGAGACATATTAGGCACGGGATTGAGAATTCAAAGACCTAGTATATACTATTTAAAGTTTAGAGATCAAATAGTCTCAAAACCCAAGTTTAGGGAGTCTAAAATGTAATTTAACTTTTATTTTTCTATGTCAATTGTTTTTTTCATTTTCTTGGGACAATAATATCCATTTTATTCAATCAGATTTAAGGAGTCAAAGAAAATTCCAATTGGAATTTATAAGAGAAGAAATGTAATTATCTGAAAGAAAAATCCTTCGGAAATAGAACTCAAAATAGAAAGTACACAATAAATATTCTCTCTGAAAATGACCTTGGAAGCATTTTGCCAAATGACTTGGGTTCTTTTCAAATTGCGACCTCAAAGAAAAGATTATAAACAATCTTTGGTTGAGGGAGGCAGAATAATCCCATTCTGCAATAAAGAAACTATTGGAATGTTGTGAAGTCACGTTCCTTTCTTTGGTTACAATTGGTGCCTCTTGCTCTAAATTTTGCCTTGTTTTGTTTGTTTTTTTGTTAGTCTCTGTTCTGTGTATCGTTTTTTGTCATCTTTATTTTGTACTTTCATTTGTCAAGCGGGCTTTCTTATTAAAAAGAATGCATATGTTCTTTCTTGGAAGATTAATGCCCCCCGAAATTGACCTTGAGACCTGATGCTTTCCCTAGAATTCTCACTAATTCAAAAATATTGCATGCATGAACTTTATCGTTTGTAGTGAGGACCATGTTATCCCCAAATTGGGGGGATGAATTACCATATATGCTCATAAATGCTCTTGGAAAGGATTTATTCAAAATGGTATCTATGTAGGCATGTAATCCCTCCACCGCACTCACACATGTCACACACACAAGAAAAGAAAAAAGAATCTTAAGCAATAAACTGAAATTGATGATAATGCAGCATTTGTAATATGAGGTTGTTAGCAGTTAAATCTATGAGAGATATCAGTCCTCTTTGGATCTCCTCCAATTGTCTACTGAGGTCTTAAGTTATTTGTTAAAATATTGAATTGGATCTTGTTTACTTTGAGGACTTCCCTTTACATATCATTTATTTTCAATTTTTTTAAAGGTGTCAGAACTAGCAATAGCTATCACTGGAGATCTGATTGGATGCCACAAACAGACAGATGGTTTATTGACCTAATGTTACATCAAGTTCGCATCGGAAATATGGTTGATCAAAATTTCAACAAACAAGCTTGGGATCATATGGTTTCCAAGTTCAGTGCAGAGTTTGGGCCTCAACACGATGAAGATGTATTAAAAAGTAGATTTTTTAATCTTAGGAAAAGATTTCATGATATGAAATTCCTACTTGATCAGGATGGTTTTGTCTGGGATGAGTTACAACAGATGATAATTGCTGAAGATGACCTCTGGGACACATACATTGAGGTAATTATATCATTAAAAATTTTAAGTTCATTAAAGTTTTCTTATTGAAGTAGGCTTATACCTAGACTTGGCAGGAATATCCAGATGCAAGATCGTACCAGAACAGGGCTCTTCCAAATTTCAATGATTTGTTCTTGATATTTGGAAACAGCTATACTTCAAATCACCAACATTGTTTATTTGACTCTGTGGATGCCAATGACAGTTATCCGGAAATAAATATTGGTCTCTCTCTTTCTAGCATATTTTCCGTACAGAAAACACTAGAATAGTTTCTATTTTCCAGTACTTCTCTTCAGGATACGTGTAGTTATAAACTTGAGTCACTTGTGAATTCATGTTGCATACTTCACATTTTAGTTTATGCAAGCCGAATTGCAGGTCGTCTAAAAAGTGTATGTATTGCACTTGTTGGAGATTCAAATAGACCGATACTATGCTATAAGTTTGTTTATTAAAGTGCTGCAACCATCACATCAAGTGATTGGTTTCACCCTTGTTGAGGCAAAAGGAGCTCAGTTAATTTTTTTCTGTAAGGAAACCAATCTGTTAGGAACCACGAACCTCACAATGGTATGATATTATCCATTTGAGTATAAGCTTTCATGGCTTTACTTTTGGTTTCCCCAAAAGGCCTCATACCAATGGAGATGTATTCCTTAATCGTTCTCTAAATTAGCCAAAGTGGGACTCCTTCCCAACAATCCTCAACAGTATTGGCTCAATATTGCTTTACTTTGTCGTTTTGTATATTCTTTGCCTTACTTTGTCGTTCTGTATATTCTTTTCTCTGGTCACTCAGTATAACTGGGTGATGTTTGGTAATCTAGTTTATGTCTACTTGATTTCATATTTAGAGAACAAGATCAAAGTGAATGAATTATTAGAATAGCTTAACTTTGATTATTTTGGGTCTCAAGTCTGCCATTTTGAAAAACAATCTCTAATAACTTGTCCTTATTGTCTTGTTTTGCTCCAGTAGATGAAGAGGAGGAGCAATTCTTTTCTGATAATAGTGATCAAGCAATAACTGAATGGACGAACCAGATGGATGATTATTATGTTGACCTCATGCTAGAGCAAGTCCGTAGAGGGAACAAGATCGGATCTACATTCACAGATCATGCTTGGGCCTGGATGGTTGCCTCATTTAACAAGACATTTGAACTTACGAGTGATAGAGATCTCCTTGAAAGTCGATTCTTTAGCATAAAGAAGGAATACAAAGATGCTCAACATATGGTCGATCAGAAAAATATGGCACGTGGCGGAATTCGCCAATCTATGGTAGCCGATAACGAAGTATGTGAAGCTCGTATTAAGGTATGTGATAATAATACTATGAAGGGCACAATAGATATAAGCCAAAAGATCGTCCATGGGAGTTGGATAGTAAATATAGTGAGTGGGAAAGGAGGAAGTTGGTCAACAGTTTAGAACCTTAGAGAGGTTCTAAGTAGCTTTTGAATGCTTGGGGACTAAATTTATTCCTTTATTCTTTTACCTGTCGAAATAATTTTAGTTGTTTGTGTTAGGATCGCACAACAACACACACTCGATCTAGATGAATTCAAAGAAATAGGAGAGAGAAAATAGAAGAAGAAATATTGGTTAGAGGTTTATATTGATAACTATATTAATGTAAAGAATACAGAAAATGCAGAAAGTTCATTTTCAAAGCATTGCCTAGGAGTATATGGAGTATATATATAGATTTACTAGATATAACATCTACTGTATATAACTATCTAGTTCAGTTTACTATATATATAGTTTTATCAGATATAACATCTCTTATATATAACTATCTATCATATATAGCTCTTTAAATACATAGCAGCGAACAATTTATATGTCATTTATCATATATAGTTTTAGGATGGATAATAAGCTATAAATCCATAACCTAACAATTTGGTTTTTCTCGGTGTACTTGTTTATTTGCCTTGTCATATATGATTGAATATGGGTGATAGGCACACGAATGACACATTTATATGCGTTTTGTGTTTCCCGACTTCGAAAACACATTGTTATCCTTGGCGTAGCAGACTCCCATTTCTTAAAATGATGCCCAATTCACTTCTTTTTCTTTTTCTGCAGGAGCTTGCAAATGATAGTGTATGCAGAGGCAGAATCATCCATAGGTATGAAGATTTGTGCTTGATATATAATGATGAGTTTCGAGATGGAAGATTAGATAGCTCTCGTCTGAATGTAAAGGTTGAAGATGCTACTCGAAAAATTTGTAGAAGTGATTTGTTTACAGAATGTAAGCCTTATGGAAGGGAATGCAAAACATCTTATGAGAGAAAGGGGTTTGAATCTTCCACTCCATCAACTTCCGTTGGGAACAAAAGGGTCAAGAGAATCAAGGAAGAGATGCAAGAAATAGGCAGTAATAAGGGAAGTTTGGTGAAAAATCTGGTCCATGTCGTGGATTACTCAATAGAAAATGTTGTTTCTGCACTCCAGAGTGTGCCAGACATGGATGATGAGTTGTTTTTGGAAGCTTGTAAACTTTTAGAAGATGAGAGGAAGGCCAAGGTGTTCGTCGCCATGGATGTCACGACACGAAAGAGGTGGTTATCGAAAAAGCTTTGCAGATAGCATCTCCTGTGGCTTTTCAAGTAAGTCCCCATATTATAATCTTTGTCATTGTATTCTAGATTCCATAGAAATGTAGATTCAAGTCTTCTGAATGCAAGGTTTTGCCTATTTGCTTTAGAAGTCTTAGACCGGAAATATCTTTGTTTCAAATGCTGATTTTGGTCATAGAACTTTCAATACAGGCCAAAATTTGAAGACTAAATTTAGTCGTATGATTTAAAAGTTAGAAGTCATCCCAATGATTTGATAAAATTCTCTAATCAAATTGTAATTTAATTATTATTGTACTAAGAATTTAACGTTAAAAATAGACATTTTGAAGTATCAAAATATAACAATGGAAGAATCAAATGCAATTTAAATCATAATTTATTCTCGTGCAATGAGGTCTCATGCAATCATAATTAAATGCAATGAGGTCTCGTGCTCCCATCTTATTACCAAAAAGTTTGTGTTATAATAGTGTATTTATGATTGTTAGGACCTAAATTTGTGGCCATTGTCTATGCATATGTACATGAACCCATTAGGCATGTTCATTAACTTACTCCCTAAGTTTGACTATGGGCAAGCACACGTTCAGTCAACTCAACCAAATAGAAAAGAAAGGAAAACAAATCATTAACTTACTTCCTAAGTTTGACTACGGGCAAGCGCACGTTCAAACATCATTAACTTACCCTCTAAGTTTGACTACGGGCACGTTCAAACAGCTCAACCAAATAGAAAAGAAAGGAACACAAATCATTAACTTACCCCCTAAAGGCTTTACTGATTGAGTTAGGGTTTGACTTTGGCTATGATATCAAACCCTAACTCAAGAGGAAATTTTGATATTTAAGAATATCAAGATCGGTGCTCTGATACCAGGTTAAGAATGAGAAATAAATTTGAGATCGAAGATGTGTATTCTCATTGATATTCATAACATCTAAATATGATACAAGCTATTAACTAATAATTACAAACAAGGAAAAATATAAACTAATTAAATATTGAGAATAAAATAAAATATTTAAGATATAATATCTAAGATATATTCCATAACTAATATATTTTTCAAATATTATATCTCAACACTTACAAACTCCATTAAGTGTTACAATACATTTCAAATTTTGTGATTTTCAGGTGGGTAGACGGAGAATTTCAAGTTTTTGGGTAACTTCATAGTGTTCGTTGGGTCCTTGTGTAGATTCAAGATCTGGATGATTCACCTCATTTCATCTGCTTTATGTGATTTAGAAAATCATAAGGTTTTTATGAAACTGTATGCTATAGCTCGAGTATGAATCACTCCTATTTACGATAAGAGCAATTGACAATTAAATCCATCCGTAATAGTGCGAAAGTAAGAAGGCCCAATTCTGAATTCAAGAATAGTGGCGTTGAGTTTCTTGCCTCTTTACCTTAGGAATAGTCAGTTTTATTTCTCGATGGAGGGATATAACTTAGCGGTAGAGTATCACCTTGACGTGGCGGAAGTCATCAGTTTGAGCCTGATTATCCCTAAACCCAAAGGGATATAACAGAATGAAAATGGATATGAAGCTTGTGGGATTTTGATAGGAGGGGGAAGCAGCGAGACCGATAGTTTACAGGAGAGGGGGAGGGATTTTGACATGAGGGGGAAAGCTGCGAGACCGATAGTTTACGATCAGAGCCAAGTGCCTCTTGGGAATTTGAATAAACAACTTAAACAACTTTCTCGACTCTTTCCACGGATCAGAGCCAAACCACTACACTGCAGTTCAAGAGCAAACTCGATTCAATATTTGAGATTTAGAATTTGGGCTTAGAATTTGGGCCACTCACAACTATTTTCTCACAATACAATAATAATTCCCCCAGCAAATAAGACGAAGATTTAAAATAATTCCTCACAACTCTCTCAAATAATAACCTTCCAATAACAAATTTAAAATTTATTATAAATATAATAATATAATAATAATAAAAGGTATATGAGTAAACACCAAAATTTTAAAACATAATAATATAATAATATAATATAGTAATAATAAAAATCGACGTGAGTAACTTTTAAATTTTATAAAAATAATTTTATTTAGAAATATAATAATAAAAAAAACTCACCATTTTTACTCTTCCAACATTATAATTGTCATACTTTGATATATTTTGATTTGTCCATCATTTTGATTTTGCTGCCACATCATCATGTCGGGTATGTTATCTCAACTGTAATTTCTTCGTTTTAGCTCTGATTTGAGTAATTGAAAAGTCGTTGAAATCGTTATTTCCAATCTTATACAGTAGATTGTTCAAAATACTGAATTTAATAATTAAAAGTAGGTTTGTTATCATCAAAACATCAATCAATTAATTGATTGAGATTAATTAAAATGAGATCGAGGGCCAAAAAGCCAACAATCTCCCCTTTTTATGATGACAAACCATTTCAAGAAAAAATTCATAAAAATGAAAGTAAACCCGTCCATGTAATAATATCAATACATGCTAATATATCATCATAAATTTCATACTTGAAATTCACTCAAGAGCATATTCTCCCCCTACGTTAATGACTCAATAAATTTATGTGTTCTATTTTCAATGGAAAAATTATTTCTGAGAATTTCTTCTTGAATGAATATTTTGAGAATTTTTCAATTTAAAGCACTTAGGTCTAATATGACCTTCAGCACCACATTAATGACTATAGACACAAATCTAGATTTATCATTACTTAGATACAAATTTAAATGTGTTAGAATGAGACATGATAGAGAATGTTTTAACAAATATTATTTTAGAACTTGAACGTGTAGAACATTCATCAATATAGCCTAATCCTCTTCTATCACCCTAGAGCCCCTATTGTTAACCTTTTAATGGACTCTTTTAGCCCTGCCAAGTTCTTTGAGAAATTTAATTAACTTACGAGGGTTCAAGAAACTTAACTTCATCCATTAATGTATTTTTCTCATCACAATCAAATACACGTTTTTCACAGCGTACATCAATTTTAACAATATTATAACCATTCCCTTTCAAACAAGAAATTTCATTTAATAAAGACTTATTTTCAATCCAATTCATGATATGAAAGAAATTTAAGAATTACCTCATCTTCTTGTTCATCCTCTTTGTCACTATGAGCCAAAAATTTGCTACTTCTTCATCACTATCATCCATTTTAAATGGTTCATAATTATGAACTAACATGCTAATTTTTGTTTCTTTAACTTGTTTGTTCCCTCCTGAGCTACTTCAAGACTTTTCCATATTTCATATGTCGAAGAACACATAAATACTCTATTAAATTCATCGCACAATGGAATATTTATAGCACTAAAAGAACATTTTTTATCAGCTCATCAAATTTCTCCTCTATTTTAGGCACCTCAATATTATTAACAATTTTTATTGGAAGGTAAGAACTTGCTAATAAATTTTCATCCTTACCTTTCCAATATATATAATTTGTTCCATCAAAATAAGGGGCCTAGAGGTTATTGTCCTTCACTAAAACCATTATTAACACGTAGGTTTGCCATAAGCTTAAACAATAAAGTTTATATGAAAAATATATAAGAGCAACCTGCTCTGATACCAATTGTTGGATCGATATGGCAACCCTGGAGGGGTGAATAGGGTTTTAACGATAAAAGTATTTAAATGTGATTAATTTTTATAATAATGAAACTTTTAGGAGATGAAGATTATTGGAATAAAATAATTCAGATCAAAACAATAATCAGTAGACACATGCCATAAATCACCCTAATAATTTTGAAACTAAATAGGAGAGAGTTAGAAAATAAGACACCGTAGTTTTATAGTGGTTCGGTCAAAACCTGACCTACTCCACTCTCCAAGTGCCTCTTGGGAATTTGAATAAACAACTTTCTCGACTCTTTCCACGGATTAGAGCCAAACCACTACACCACTCTTTTTACGAGTTCAAGAGCAAACTCAATCCTTTCTACGGTGCAAATCAAACTGGTACAAATATTTGAATTTGGTAGTAACACATCACAACTCTCTCAAAGGGTAGATTTACAATTTGGGCTACTCAACTATTTCCTCACAATACAATAATAATCTCTCGGACAAAATCATTAATAATAAAAAATTCTTAATATGTTTAATAATTTTTTTTGGCTCGGGTCAACTCGAAGGGTTTGCCCACGAACTCGAATCCGAACCAATTCAGTTCGGGTTCAGAAAAAATAAACCCAACCTTACTCGAAATGCTAATCCAATTTTAACTCCACCCTTATAATTTGAGTTGAGTTGGTACAGGTTGTTAGGTTGAATGTAGGCACCTAATAAATGGTAGATACAATAAAAAAATAAAAATAAAACAATTAACGTACTTTACATACATTAAAAAAAGAAAACACAAAGGAATAGGTTGGGCCAACACATTTCTGGCTTCCGTTTCGTTTGTTTGATCCGTTAAACCCTTCGAAGCAAAAACCTCTCTTCCTGTGACCGATCTTACTTTTCATGATCGGAGAAAATAGCACCAGAGGTTTTCAGATTTGGTACTAGAAATGAATTCCAGATTACTCCAAACCCTGTATCGCACGGCACAGAATCGAGCATTTACTTCTCGGTAAGCATTTGTTATATAGTTTGCGATTTCCTTTTTTTTTTTTTTTGTTTGGTTTCCAAGAATTTAGAAAGTTGAGTGGCTGATAGTAAGGGAAAATTGAACTCTGCTACTGTTTTTTTTTTCTTTCTTAAATTCACAATTGATTTTTTTGGGGAATGAGAAAGCTCAGGTAGGTAATGGCGGTCTCTGAGTGTAAGGCGTTTTTTCAATCATTGTTTAGCTGGTTGGAAAATGTAACATTCTGCTGGAAATTTGGAAATGGAATATCATTTACTTGAATACAGCTTAATTTCTAATCATACTGTTAGGTGCTACATGAATGTTATTGGATTTTTTGTTCTTTATTCTCGTTTTCTTGGCAACATCGATAAGGGTGTTTATCTTTTCCTTTTTATGTAGTGAGATTGAATATGTTTCATCTTCTTATTTTGGTCTAACGTGTTATTGTAAAATGTGCAATGCTCAGGGTTGGAAGTTCAGCAAACTATTCATGTGGCATCACAAATGGTAACTTCGATGATTATTATTATTTTTTTTATTTTCTATTTGAATTTTCTTACCTTAGACTTAGTTGCAGGAACTTCTTAAAATGAATATGGTTTTCAGGTGGTTCAGTTAGTCAATTGGGTATTCAGAAAACTTCTTTCCTCAGTAACACTCACACTGCTTTTTCACTGGCTCGGGGTCATAAAATGATAATATGTTCTGCAGTGGTAGTTTCCTGAACTTATACGACTTGGCTCCATTTTTCGTTTCACTGAACTTATATTGTTGTTTTTTTTTTTTTTTAAAAAAAAACTTCTTAGGCTGCAGATTTGTCAATATTCTCGCATGGCATTGGCATTAGGTTGGCGACAACACAAGCAAAAGCCCCCCCACAAGCACGTCAAATGGTGAGTTTATTTTTGCCTAGTTGATGACGTTATAGTTCATTCAAGACAGTTCCATTGGGATTCAATCATTAATTGTGGAATAATTATGGTTATCTTGATCTAAGTTCGTTTTACCATTTAATTAATTCTGTTAAACATGAAACAAACTCCTTGTAAATGCAGACTATGATAATTGCTTGTTAATTGGCTTTCCTATTTTGAAAATGTTGATTGTTGCTTGTTTATCTTTCTACATTATAGTTTTTTAAAATTAATTTGTTACATGGTAGGATTGATATCATATCATGTAAAAGGATAAATATGTTTTTTGTTTTATGAGAAGCTGAGCTTTTATGAAGAGAAAATGAAAGTATACATTAGCCCAACGAGAGAAGTCATACCTTAACTATACAACAAAGTATTCATAGGTCTAAATAGAACCTAAGAGATAATTACAGAAGTCCTTGGAGGCTAACACCAAGTAGAGGCATTAAGCCTATCAAGCTGCCGCACCTATGAGTATTTCCTTGTGAGTATTAAGGCTATTTGGAGGCTAGTGTGAGCAAGATCACAAGTAGAGGCATTGAGCTTATTACACACAAAGATAGGCTATTTGGGAAGGTGATTAAATTATGATCAAGGTATGGATAAAGCAATTCATATAGTAGCGAGCTATTCAAGACAATCAAGATAAGGTAATTATAAACTTACAACAAAATAAAATAAAGAAAGGATCAAACAAATAAGGGACACAAATATCTTTGGGTAAAACTGCACACAGAAAATAAATTAAAAAAAAAAGGTCGTTATGATTTTGGCTAAATGACCTTTTAATTATAACATACAAGAGAATGATCTAACTTTTCTTTTTATGGAATTCAGGTAAATTCAGAAGTTATCTTCGAGTTTGAATTAGGAATGAAAAATATCAAACACAAGGGTTACAAATTTAGACAGCTTAAGCAAAATATGAATTGAAGTTGATTTGATACTCAAATAAACATGCAAATGGTCTAATAAATGGTCAAATAAATGATAAGAACAATTTATATACACAATATTAAGAAGCAAAATTCTATTTTTTTTTCTTTTTTTGTTCAAGAAGATCTAAATATGATCTTTAAGAAGAAAATGAGAACGAAGTAAAAAATAAAAACAAAAAATGATAAAGAATGTTAGAAATGACAACAAGAGAATAAATGGACATATTTGAACAAAATATAATTAATGACATAAATGAAAGATAAAATCAATTCTAGATTAGGCCACAAAGATGCAATCTAGGCTCTAATACCAAATTGATAAAACAATTCTAATCCTCAACCCAACGATCCAAGGTTTTGTTGAAGCAAGAACCCTTGAATCAAAGAAATTAACTCCTACAAAATTCGGATCAACCAAGAGATAAAGCTAGAATGAGATTACCTCTTAAGATCAAAGATATAGAATCAAGATTTGAAACCTTGTTCTAAATTGAGTCACTCCACAATCGAACTTGATCAAGGTTTGATTGAATGACTCGGATGCAATCTACCACATGAATTGCTCGAAACTTAGAAATAACAAATGCGATGCTCAAATTTCTAAGGGGGAAAGTCTCAACTTGAGAGCTTAATTTCATTCATCAAAAATCTGCTTTTAAATACTAATTTGTGGGTATTTATAGTCTCTCCACACAAGAAACTTCCAACTCTTCAAATGCCCACTAAAAGAAGTTACTCCCCACTACCCTTCAAATGTCCACTAAAACATAAAGAAGTTATGGCCACTTTGACAATTAACTTTCCACCCTTTTGCCCACTACAAGAAATTATGGAATTAAAATAAAAAAATAAAATTTTTAAAGAAATTATCAATAAAGTGTTATTTATAACAACCCCATTTTCTACTTCGATTGTCAAATATTCACGTATGATGCTCCAAATGGTCATTCCTCAATCAAATCAGCTTGTAACACATGAAATAGAGATTGAACCGAGCCTATCTAATTTTGTAGATGAAGAATGAATGCTTGTTGAATCTTTTTAGCCTTGGATCGTGTAATAGGTATAGTTGGAACATTTGGAACACCATGATCCTTATCTTGGCTTCATTTAGTCCTATGAAAAAAAGGGTTTTTCATCAGTTTTGAAGTCTGAAGGTCCAAAACGGTTCAATATTCTGATTTGGATCTTGCTTAACAGTTCTTTTAAGTTCTGCTGAGGTGCTCCGAAAAAATTACCTAAATAATATTTCATGCATTACAGTATGTTCACTTTGTTCTGCGGATGGAGAGATGTTAATTCATTTGTTATTAGAATGTCCTTATTCTTTGGCTTGCTGTTATAGTCTTTTCAACATATTCAAGGCACAGTGGGTGTTTTCAAAGAACACAAAATGTAATGTTGTTCAGCTACTTATAGGGCTTTCATTGCTTTTGTGGTTGCAGTTTTTATGAACAAGAAACATCTTTCTATTTATGCATGAAAGGGTACAAGATATTTGAAGAAACCACCTCATGAGAGTAGAAAAAGAAAAAAAATGATAAACCGACCAAATAAAGTGGGCTGAAACAGAGCCCCAAAAGAAAGAATTCAATAGCAAACCAAATAATATCCACCGTCTAACCAAAAGGGAAAAACTAGAAAAGGAACAAAGGAACTCTTCCCAGACAACCAAAAACCTGAAAGACACCACAGACAATCTAACAATGGCTAGAAGGAAATCTGAGGATATTGGAAAACAAGCGTATTCTTTGGTTTGATTGTTTTGAATCTATTAGGCTCAAGGCTTCTCAACAGTTTTTGAAAAAGCTCTTTTTTGGTTTTACCTTACAATATATTTATTTGAAGTCGGAACCTTTTATTTTTACATTGTAATTTTGTTTTATCTTTATTTGTTAGTTTGTTTCTTCTTTCAATCCTTTTATTCATTTGTATCTTTTGAGCATTAATCTCATTTCATTCCTTTAATGATAAGTTTTATTCGAGGTAAAAAATGCAGTTGTCTCTTTCAACCTGTCTAAACCATCGGGTTATATTCATTCCACGTTGTTCTTGCACTCAACACTTAAAATAATCATTTTTATGAGAAATATCAATATCAATTTACCCTAAAGGTTTATTTTTATGGACAAATAGAATGTTGAAATTCTTTTATGTTTTAATTTCTTTTATCATCTTTTTCATTGAAAATGAATTGTCAAATCTTTTACTCTTTCATCTTGTCTTAAATCTTTTGATACTTTTGTTAAATCATGCTTGCAGGGAGCCCTCAAAGTTTCCATGTTGAGTCCTGGAATTATCTATGAACCTTATTCACCTCGTCAACCAATCCCATTTTGGCAGAGGTTAGTTGAATCCAAAAACCATTCTATTTAAAAAGAAAACAACTATTTTTTAAATTTCGATATTATCTCATCCTACACTTGCCTCCGGACAACCAAAAACTAAATAAATTAAACTCATGCAAATCAAACTAATTAGAGCCTATTACAATTATGTTGGCAACAATTTACCAAGTACTTCAAGCTCAACACTAGTACTACTACTTGTGAGTATTTCCTTTGAATGCTTTTTTTGCATTTGGATTTTGGTTAAATTACCATTTCTTTTTGTTAAATCACCCCTCAACCCAAAAGCTTTTAAGTGATAGTTATCTGAAATTTAATCTTATATCATACTAATTTACAAGGGTATGAAGGACTTCCTATTTTGACGTCATTGAATTACCACTCGACCTAAATGCCTAAGCTAATGGGTATTGGTCTAAGAAGCATGGATATGGTATGAGTCACGAATACACACTGATACAGTGACACCATTTTTTTAAAATCCAGAACATGTATATTAAACTATATATCATTTTTCTACAATATGATATTCAAAGTCAATGACTTTATGCATTTATATGCTTAATAAAAGTTGACGAATGGGTACCTAATATTACGGCTGGTCAATTTAATCATCAGAAACACCTTTTATTAAATGTTAGTTCATTATCTACATCCAAAGAGAATAGCCAAGGTAAGAAAATTGTTCATATTTGGTAATGGAAGTGACGATTTAAGAGATTTAACCAATTAATGGGTTCTAAATTGAAAAGTTTAAAATTATAGGGATCATATTGAAATTAAGCACGAATTATTGATTTAACCCTTCAATTTGTTTCCATTTTATAAAATAGTTATTAATTTTGATTATTCCTTAATCGGTTTATTTGTGTTTCTTTTGTATGTCTGTCTTTTGTTACATTAGGTAGATGACAGTTGCATAACTCAGAAGGTTTAGTTATTTAATTATATATTTATTTCTATTTTAGTATTTTTGGATTTTGTCATTATTTACCATGTTTTGAGCACTTTTGATGTTTCTATGTCAGATGGTTCACAAGAAGTGGTTGGAGGAGAACAAAAGACGATATCATTTTAGAGGTGAATTGTGCCATTTCAGCCTTTTGATTTTTGAGCTGTTATGCTGCAACTGCAAGTTCTTATTTTTTTAAAAAAGAGGCTATTATGCTGCAATTTAACTATTTATCAGTGTTCTTTTGAGGTCACAATGCCCAATTTTAAGTCTTCTACTTCCCTATCCCTTTCTCCGGTTTCTTTTCTATCTAAGCTTTAGAACGTATCCCTTCATTGTTGCATGACAAAATGAAGTACTGATGAGGGAGATGAGATGTAGAGGGCGTGCATCGATTATGAGGTGTTTCACCTTCAAAAAGGTGGTTGTGTAAGGTGTGTAGAAGAGCATAGGAGAACACAAGTGGAGAGGTTGGAGTTGGAATTGGGAACGCTAGCTTGTCTCAAGGATTGCTTGGGGTCAGATTTTTGATCTAGAAAACCCATTAGGTTTTTGATGGAGGAGGAGATTGGAAACATGAGTGACCTTCTTCCAAGTTCCATCTAAAGCGAAGGATAGATTTGCTCTAGCTTCTTTGGAAACTCGTAGAGGAGGAAGGTTTTTTGACGGGTCTGGGATGATTCTCCCTTGTTTTGGCATTTTTTGGAACTGACTAAGCTAGTGAAGAATCAACCTAGGGCAAAGTGTAAGATGTCTGGTGACACAATTGAAGTCCTTTGAGACTCTCAAAGCAGTTGTGTGACACTTTCTCCTGCCCTTGATCAAGTGAACCTACTCAAAAAGGTGGTTATGAAAGGTGTGTGTAGAAGAGCACAGAGGAATATGAGTGGAGAGGTTGGAGTTGGAATTGGGAATGGTAGCTTGGCTCAAGGATTGCAGGGGGCAGCTTTTGAGCTAGAAAACCCATTAGGTTTTTGATGTAGAAGAAGGTTGGAAACATAGTGATCTTTTTCCAAGTTCCATCTAAAGCGAATGATAGGTTTACTCTAGCTTCTTTGGCAACTTGTGGGGGGGAATGTCTTTTGGCAAGGGTAAGGAATAAGGAGATTCTCCCTTGTTTTGACATTTTTCTGAACTCCTTGCATTGGGGGCTTGGGGTACGATGTTTGGGGTCACAATTGTAGTCTTTTGAGACTCTCAAAATGATTGTGACACTTGCTCTCGCCCTTGCTACGTCAGAAGCTTGCACAAATATTAACCGGGCAAGCAAGGAAAGTCAAAATGTTTATGGAAGGTGTTCGAGTGAAAGAACGTACTTAAACTTAGTGCTTGAGCAAGTCAATCAACTCAAATTCAGGATGTCGATGGCACAATAGGCCTATCTTGCATTCTCCACCTCCGTTTTTTGAGAAAAATATTTTTAGAAAACGGGATTACGGGAAAAGTTTTTGGAAAATCACTGGAAAACTTTTGAGAGAACATTTGTTGTATGCTAAAAAGCATCTAAGATAAACAACAAATTTTATAGTATACAATCAAGGTAGGAAGGATGATAATCAGCCTTACACATATAGTACATTGAGGCATATTCAATGTGTCACCCTTGCACATGGCAAGTGGTGAGGATTCATACACTAACAAAAGACAAGGAAACTAAATTGGTATGCAAAATGAAAGCTTGGTAAAAAAAGTTATTACAAGCATGCAACTATAGGTAACACCCTAGACAAACATGATCATGACATTTGACTTCTATGCTCTAGCTAGGAAAAAGAAGTTGGAGATCCTCAATATTGCTACCAGAAGGGAAGTCGAGTTGAAGTTTGGTTTAGAGTTTGAGTTTTCTCTGACTATTACTTGCTATAATTATTGTGAAATTTAGCTAGATCATATATTTTTTTTTTTTGGAGCTATGAGTTTGCTTATGCAATCTATAGTTGTTTCTTCGTGGAGTTTGACTTTTGTTTTTCTAGGTCTAGAGGTTGTAGAGAGACAGATTGAGGAGTTTCTTCTTCACCCACCCTTTTGTGAGAAGGGGAAGTCGTTTTTGGGGCGTGTTGGGATCTGTCCGGTTTTGTGGGGCTTTTAGGGTGAGAGGAACACCTGAATCTTTAGATGTCTTGAAAGGAATTTGATTGATGTTTGGTCTTTTTTAAGGTTCCATGTTTCTATCTCTGGTGGTGAAGCGTTTTTTGTAATTAACTTTTAGTTGGTCTTATTCTACTTGACTTTAGCTATATTTTAGTTCATAAAGTTTTGTTATTCATTTTTTTTTTTGATAAAAGACAACTTTATTAATGATGTTTACAAAGAACTTCCCAATTTACAAAGACAATTTACACCAAGATAGAGCTTGGTAAACCGCATCGTAGAAGAGTGTAGTATAAGTTTGTCTTTTTCGTGATTACTCTTTGATTTTTTTCTTTCCATAGATTTTTTAAAAAAAAAGCTAGGGTGAGGTCGACTTTTGCATTCTTGGAGGAGTGGTACGTTAAGACCATGTCCAGTAAATTCTTGGCCTCCCTAGGAAAAGTGAGATGCCATCCAAATTTTGAGCGTATGTACACTGCATAAATAGGTGGTTTTGTGATTAGTTGGCACAGAAAAAGTTTTGTTATTCATAAAAATAAAACTTGCTCTTGTTCACCTTACTACTGAAACAATGTCTGCTCAATGTACATTGGCTGCTTATCTGATGTGAACCTCTATGCGCTGATTTATTATAGAAGAACTTATGCTCATGTATGGAAGTAATAGATAAAGGCCGCCTAAGTTTTGTGGAGTGTGCCTAATAGAGGCCTGATATCTTTCTTTCTTTCTTTTTTTTTTCTTTTCTTTTTTGCAGCTAAAAAGTGCTTATGCAATTGCAAAATTAAGAAAGAAGGGGTACTCAAAGAAACAATTTTACGAAGAGGCAGTAAATTTATATAAAGAGGTATTCTAGATTCGTGTATCACATTACTGGTTTAAGAAGTGCTTTATGAAATATATTTAACATTTTCTTTCAGTAAGATTATCTTCAGAACCGTTTCCTTTGTGGAAAGAACCTGCCTGGCTTTTCATAATTTTGTGGATGATATAAGATTGTAAATTTCTTGAAGGCCAAAGAGTTTCTTTTGCTTCTATTGACGACTATTTTCCTCTGTGAAAGAACCTACCTGGCTTTTTCATAATTTGTGTTTGGATATTGAAGATCGTAAATTCCTTCAAGTTCTAATGGATTACCGTTGATACATACAGTGAAGTTGTAACGTAATATTAAAAAAGAGTTTGCTGTTGCCTCTTGATTTGTTCTTTGAGAAGTATCTGGGAATGGGGACGGTACACAAATCATTTTCTGAAGCCAATTTTCCAGCAGGGGGAAGGCCATTTCCCTTGTCACATAACCTTTTTATAGTTTCATTACCCTTGTAGCATAACCTTTTTGATTTGGCAATTGATGCATTTTCCAGTTTTCTTCAACGAAATTTGTTATGAGTAAGAAGAAAAGTCAAGTTTGTTTACCCACGAGCTGATGGCTACCTTCTCGTTTTATCTTCTTTTTATTTGATGTAAAATTGCTGAACCTTGAATTGTACGTTTTCCAGATAAACACTTTGATAGCAAATGGTGACAAAACATCGTTGAGGAAAGCAGTCACAGAGAATATGTATTCAGTACGCATCACCCTTTCCTTTTGCTTTTCAGCTATGCCTACTTTGAGATCGAGTTCTCTTTCCCACGTTTTCTTTACTTGTTCTCGTCTATTAGCTATGCAGATTCTGTTTTTTTTTTTGGAAAGGAAACAAATTCTTTGTTGGATTCGAGACAGATATGTAGATTCTAACTTATTACCTCGGCCTCACCTACAGGCATTGAAGAATGAAATCAAACTCAGAGAATCCAAATGGAACAAAGTTTACTGGGAAATGATCCTACCAGTTGTCAAGATCCGCACGTTACGAGCTAGATTGGCAAGTATTATTACTCTCACATTTCTGTTTGTCCTATTCATGCATTTGTCAGGCTGCTCACAGTAAGATATATTTTCGTGATACATTCATAACCTGTCCATGTTCCAGTTCCTCCTTAATTTTTCTAGTTACTCAGCTTTAGAAGGTCATGCCTGCATTGAGGAGAAAAATAATAGGTTAATTATTTTTGGCTAAATATACGTTATGACCTCTAATGTTGGGGTATGCCTTTTCCATTATCCCTTTAAAAAGTTCTAATTTTACGCCCTTGCTTTAACATTTTCAATTTTAGTCCTTCACTATTGTTGAATGTTAAAATTGGTATGATCAACTTACATGTCAATACTCGATGAAATCATGCAACTTGTAAATGTTTGTAATTCCTTTTCTAATTCTCTATTAAAAGGGTAAAAACAAATATTCTTCTCTTAAATGATATTCTTTCTCCACCAAATTTCTTTCCGTTCACCTATTATTTTTGTCATGTAAGTTTAACATCAACTAATTGTTATATTCATCAACAGTCTGATAGGTTAACAATAAAATAAAAAAAAAAAAAAAGAAAAAAAAAAAAGAAATTCAATAACTCCAAAAGAGGAACAATCCCTCTGAGATGTTCTATCAAAACAATGCCTGTCCCCACTAGTTCATCCAGAGCCTTAAAATAGCAATACTAAGCCTAAAACCTACAGTCCAAACAGAAAATGAATATCCAAAACATAATAAAGCATAAACATAAATGACCCACAGACATAGAACCAAATAACAGGCCCTTATCTTCTTCTTCAGACCCAAGTGTTCGTAACCAAGATCTTACACAGTGATGGACTAAATTGAGAAGTATTAATATATAAGAGACTAAATTGAACAAAGTACTCCAACATTAGATTCACAAATATATATTTATTCTTTCGTCTTAAATAAGATTTCATTCGAGTTAGTGGGGAGTTGAAAAGGAGAAATGAGACATCTCTCCATGACATGAAGGGAGAAGGCTGTTTATCACTTTAATGTTTTACCAACATTGTTCGATCTTACCATCTCCCCTTTTGTGGTGCATTTTGAAGCGCTCCTTACCTCATCTGCAAATAATAGTTTCCCAAGTTCCATGAACTTTGAGTCATCTGGCAGACCTATGTTTCTGACCCGTCACCCTTCTGTACATTTCATGATTAGATCCCTTCATCATGACATATTGCACTGCGAATTCCCTAGGAAAGTAAAAAAATTCTTCCTTCGGGAGCTTAGTTATAAATAACCATGACAATTTTCGAAGAAGGAACCCAAAGTGGGATCCCCTACAAGAAAAGAGAGATAAAAAAGAAAAAAAGAAAAAAAAGAAGAAAAAGAAAAAGAAGAAAAAGAAAAAAAAATCTTTCATATGTTTCAAGCCAAGTCCACATTGAATGATTCTTATGTGTAAGTTAAGCCAAAGAGTTTCTGCGCTGTCTTTAAACAGACGATTGAGAGGAGAAAGAGAGTTTGTCAGCCGCTTCTATTGAAATAGTTTTTATCTTTTCTATTTCAGAACTTCCTACTCTTGATTTTCTTTTTCCCAACAATTCAGTATTCAAGCAGAAGGCAGATGCCTAATACTTTAACCAAAGTAACTACCTATATTTACAAGATTGTTTGACATTGATTTCAAAAGCATGTAATTAGGCCAACTATTATTATATACCCATTACTCAAGAGAACCGCATACAGTCATACCCATGAGTTGAATGGTTCAAACTATCTACAATGGTCGCAGAGCATATTATGTTCTTTGTTAAAGAGTGTTGTTTGCAAATCCAACTTTTAACTAAAAACTTCACTCTTTATGAGTCTAATGCTGCCAGTCTGCCGCCACGTAGAAATTTAAAACGGTTTGTCCAAGCCATATAATTTCTACATTTATAGAGCATTTTCAATTATTATGGTTCGATAAAAATCATCAATATTATCACTAGCTAATTTCCTCAAAGTGGAAGTATGTCGTTGTTCTGGTTTGATTATAATCTTGTACTCTTTCTTTCCCTGCATGCACAGATTGGTGTTGATCGAAGTGACCTTGAAAAGGTTTTCGTACAGCTTACCCTTGAGATTCTTGCCAAGCAGGTATACTGAGCGTTATACCTATTCTTGTTCTTATGCTCTCAACTGTTTCATACTTCGTGTGCATACAACCGTGTGCTCTCCGCAATCTGTAAAATATGGTGCCTTATTGTAACTAATTAATGCTAGAAATCATAGCAACTAGTGAGGCCCTATAGTTGTGTAGTCGGTAAACTTGTAGAGGGGCTTTTATTATGCATCACATTCTAATCTAATAATTGTTGATCATCAAACATGGTAACGTCACTCTGGATTTTTCCTAGATAGAGCTTATCAAAGCTTGCTTTTTCTTTGTTCTTTTCCTTTTTCTTAATTTGATCCATTATTGTTTTGTTTATTGTATGGAGGAGTTGTGATAATGGAACTGCCTCTAATATGCATGAGAGCTCCCCTTAATCTAAGTGAATTTCCACAACAATAGCAACAACCCCAAGAAGGTTAAACAAATTTACTTAGAAAGATGATCATTGATCAAGGAGAACTTGTTTTTATCTTCAAGATTTTGACCTCTCCACAATCTAATTGATCAAACGGATTGAAAGTTCTAAACTTGTATTCTAAAAACAAGAATACAAAGTTCGTAGGGAGGTCAGTTATATTCAAGGAGTTTAGGATCGCTTTTTGTTTGCCAAAGAGGTCGATGATTGGCTTGTGGAAGTGTTAAATGGTTGGTACTTTAAAGGAAGAGGGAAGACCCTTTAGTGTTGTGCTACTAGAGCTCTTTGGTGGCATCTTTGGAGAGAAAGGATCTTCGAAGATGAGCTTTTGTCTTTTGATTCTTTTTATATGTATTGTAACAAAAGGTCTATTTAGCTATAATCAACTGAGATTTTTGTTTCACTCAAGATATCTATCAATTTGACTCCCTTGGAGTCTTCTAAGCTTCTCACTTCTAATGAAGATGTTCATTGATATAAATTTGCATTTGTAGAAGTTTGAAGCATACAATGCTGAAGGTGCTGTCGTTGCTGGAGATAAATCTAAGGAGGTAAGTGCATGATATCATATTCACTCTCCCTTTCGAGTAATGTACAGAAGCATCAGTGAATTCAAAATGTCACCTTGATAATGTTCATATTTCAGGTTTTCTCTTTCTTGTTTCCAATATTTGGTGTTCGATAACCATTCCTGTTTTTTGTTTTTATTATTTTTAGAAATGTTTCTAAAATTGTGTAGGAATTTTAGAAACAACAAAACGAAGTTTCTTGTCTTTGTTTCTAGTTTTTTCCAAAAACATAAATGTAAGTATTGGTTTATCATTTTTTTTTTCTAAAATGCACTATCATTTTTGTATAGAATATAATTTCTTTCAATATTAAATTTTAAGAACTTATTTTCATGTAAAAATTTTATTTTTTAATTCAAAACTAAAAAAGAACAAGAAACAAGAAATGCTTATTAAACATGTTCTTTTTTTCAAAATCGAACCATTAGATTTAGGGAATGTTCAATTTTAGTCTCTGACAACAGGATGACAATTTAAAAGTAAAATGTAATAATTCAAATAATTATAAAAACTCTCCCATCTCTACTCTTCCCCTTTTTCTTTCCCACTCCCTCTTCTTCTTTTCTTCCAATTATTTTTCTATTTTCAAATCTTAATTTCTTCGGAGTTTTTTTTATTATTTCAATTTCTTTTCCACATTGTTTATTTAGATTTGGATATTGGGTTAGATCTGGAAAATGTGTCCAGTGTGTTTGAAGGTTTGAGAGAGGGGATTTGATTTTTGGAAATTTTTCTGACGAAATGAATTTTGAAAGGAAAAACAAGAAGAAACAGAGAGTGAAAGTGAATAAAGAGACGAAGGCGACATTGTGAAGTTTCTGGAACTTCATTTTCATGAAGTTTCACAATGAAGTTTCCCTATTTTTGAGTTAATAATAATAATAATAATAAATTATTATTATTATTATTATTTGAAATTTCCACATGCTCCAAACTTTAATGTTCAAAAAGGTAATTTTCCATTTTCATTATTGGAAAAAGAGGAAATTAGAAAAAGAACCGGAAACACAAAATAATTCATTCAATCACTTCTTGGCCTTTGAAGTAGCGAGTATGAACAGCTATTTGTAGTGCCTTTTCCATCCTTGGTGTGCATATAACCATTCCAACATTGAATTAGCTTCCCACAATTGAACCGAAAGAAATAAAGGCTTATCATGATTCCTTCACAATTTCAATTTGTATCTTTAATTTTCTTTCATGGCAACGATTTTGATTATATTATATGTGTGCTACTACTCCTTTCAGGTCCTTGTCCGTGATATCTGGGTATTTGAGAAATCACTTTTTCATGAGGGAGCTTTTTGGCGTCTCTGTGGGCGAATTCCAATCTAATATCATCCTTCACAGTAGAAGCTTCTTTATCCAATTTTGTAGATCAACAGGTTCCATCTTTATTTTAATAGTTTCTTTTTATTATTCTATCATATATAATTGTGTAGTTTACGACTTCACTCCTAAATTATGATATCAACACGAGAGACGTTCCTAGGAATTTTAATTCTAATAATTTTTGGTATCTTCCTTGTTCAAGCCATCTCTAGAAGAGATAAGCGTGACAGTGATTATTCAAATATTTCTTTTAATCCTTTTCCTTTCTAGTTCCCTGTTCATCAGAATTGCTTTCAGCTAATTAATAACAGTTTTCATTTTTTTATTGTGTTGGGTGGTTATATGATAAAAGAATGGCACTTTTTAGTCCATGATGTTTGAGTATAGTAGCTTTTGGTATGTGAGTTTTCGGCCTCGAAATTTTAGTTCATGAGGTTTGATTTTAGCAGCATCTTAGTACCCATCAGTTTTTCCTTTAATTTTTAATGGAAAGCTGATGTGGCATTTGTTTTTTTATTTTATTTTAAAAGATATATTTTAGTTTTTTCTATTTTTTAATTGAAAAGATATATTTTCGTTCTGTTGCTGGCTCTCTTTTTCCTTGTTTTTTTCCTTTCCTCTCTTTCCCTTTCTTTCCCCTTCTCCTTGGAGAAGGAGAACGGAACATTCTTTATAAGGATATGGAAACCTCTCCCTAACAATTGCGTTTTAAAAAACCTTGAGGGGAAACCCAAAAGGAAAAGCCTAAAGAGGACAATATCTGCTGGTGGTGTGCTTGGGCTATTACAAATGGTATCAGAGCCAGACATTTGGTGATTTGCCCGTGAGGAGAATAAACTCTAAAGGGGGTAGACACGAGACGGTGTGCCTTAATTAATTGGGGGTCTCACATTGATTGAAGAAGGGAATGAGGACCAGCGAGGACGCTGGGTCCCGAAAGGGGTGGATTTTGAGATCCCACATCGGTTGGAGAGGAGAACAAAACATTCTGTGTATAAGGGTGTGAAAACCTCTCCCTAGCAGATGTTTTAAAAACCTTGGGGGAAGCCCGAAAGGAAAAGTCCAAAGAGGACAATATCTGCTAGCAGTGGGCTTGGGCCGTTACACCCCTCTTTTTTCTCATGTTTTCAGAAAACATAGATCTGGAAGACGCCTAGATCTGAAACGATGGCAATGTCCTTGTGTTCTCTTACAATTTTGATGTTGGGTTCACTGCTTGTTGCTGAATCTCTCAACCATACTGTTTTCTGCCACACACTGCCTTGTTGCTCTGTTGTCATTCGACGCTTATTGGGATGCCACCATTTACGACTCCCAAATGTGCCATACCCTACATCTTTGCACACTGTTGCCATTTCTTTCTTGTCTGTCTTTGCACATTGATGCTTGAAGCTATATTCAGGGCATCAAAGTCTACATACTTAAGAACCATTTTCTCTTCATAGTCGCCTATTATTGCTTGAAGCTATATTCAGGGTGTTTTAAGGTTCATTTTTCTAATATCAAAACTGTAGCGTGTCGAGTATCAGCAGCGTTAAGGAGAAAGCTGTGACTTCCATGCTTTGAATTGGGATCTCTTGGAAGGAAGTTTTACCTTACTTTTCAAGGAATGCCATATGATTCTTCTATGATGATCTTTTTTTTACTCTTCTTATGTAAGAGATTGATTCATAGGAAGACAAACTCTTTGGGGCGAAGGTTGCATCCTTTCAAGGTACGAATTATTCTCTATTTGTCTGTACTCTCTTCATCAAGTAAAGTATATATGCATTTGGTGCATTACTCATCCAAATTTCCTCTTCATTCTTCAACCCTTTCACCCAACATTTTCTTTTAATCCAACATCCCTTCCCAAAACATTCCAATGGACAATCGAGAATGCAAGTTCCCATTCTTTGACATATGTTACCAATTGTTCCATTTGATTATGAAAATCCTATCATCTAAAGCACGAGAAACTGTTACTCTTGGAAACCCTGTGTCACGTGATTCAAATGGTTCATCTCAAGAGATTCATGAGAATGAAATCCATGACAAGTCGAGTCAAGAGCTGAATTCAGATCATTCTCTTTTGTCTCTTAAGAATGATGTTCTTGATGGACAGGAGCTCCATTCGTCTAAAGACGATGATTCTTGTGTTACTCCTTCGCCTATCAAAGATAAAAATGATAAGAATCATCATTTTGTACCATTACCTTCTACAATCAAACATGCTCCAAAGAAAATTGTTAGTATCAAGGAAACGGTCGAGGATATTGATTCTATTATGAAGGAAAGGAGGAAGAACAAAGGAACAAAAAAGTCGAAATCCTTTGATTTTGATAATGAATATGATGGTTCCTTGAAGCCTACTCGGTCGATTCTCAAGGTTGGTTCATTAAACGATAAGTCAGATTTATTAAACTCTTTGAATCGTGTTGAATAGAGCTAATAAGAAAGTTGTAGTTTGCAATTTAACATTGGATCATGAATAAATATGTACATTAAATAAATTAAAGTCGAACTAATATGTCAATATTTCAATTCTATTGTTATTTGCAAATATTTGTAATTCGAATCAGTTGGGTCGATTTTGTTTTTGGTAGTTTCATCGAATTTTTTGTGTGCAAATAGTCTTGAATGAACCTACCCAAGCTTTTCTTGAATTCATTCCAACCAAGGTCTCAAAAATTTGATTGGGAGTCCCGGGAGTCCTAGGAGATGTTATCCTAGTTGAAGGAGACCGATACATAATTAATAGAACTGAATTTTATTCTGTCATGAAATTATATGGTTAATTGCATTTTCATAATTTACATATCATGTCGTTCATACCTGAGGTCTCAAAGTTGACCACATGCAATGCATGACATATACGTATGAATAGCCATCACATTCATCGTATACGCAAATAAATATCATGATTTATGACCTAATCCAAATTTCCATTAAAAGGGTCGGTTATATATTCTTTTCAGTAGCAAGTAATTTTTTTGTTTAATCCAAACTTGAACATCTCAATATTAATAATAAAACCGTTTCGACTCTAATTACACTAGTTTAGATAATTTTCAAAATCTGTAACGTATCAGATATTAATATATATATAAATTCTGCGGTCGTCAGTGAGAAACGAGAACCAAACCCGATCCTCAACCAAACCACTTGCAAGAAACAAAACGAAAAAACATGAGAGTTTGAGAAAGAAACCGACGACGCTTAGGCAAAGCCAAACCATACAAAATTGACTTCGAAACCTCCGATTTACATGTCGTACACCATCGGGGAAGGAAGACAAAACATTGGGTTTTTGGACCTTCTCAGATCTGGAAGTCTCAAACTTTTTTTGAGCCAAACTAACACCATAAATGGGATTAGGGGGAAGAGGAGACGGGAAACGGAAGAAAAAAAAGGAGGAAAAAGGACGTTGAAACGATGTTGCCGAGGAGAGAGAGAGAGTCCGCTGAAAAATTTCGTTGTTAATTGGGCGAAGGAGACGAAGTCCGACCAAGATTCAGACCCTAATTGATATGACCTAATCCAGTCCAAACCCTCGATCGACGAAATCTCCGCGGTCCAGACGCCTCGGCCCAAACCAGAAAGCCCAATTACGGCCTAACCCATCAGCCACGACCCGAGACCAAAAACCAAACCGACTCGAGACCTTCAAGCCCAATCCAATACCGACGCTGACAACCCAATCTACTACCCGTGGTCAGCCCAGACCTGCGATTGCAACCCAAAAACCCGTGCCTTGAATCGACGACCCGCGCCTCGGCCTGACTTTGGCTAGCACACGCAGCTGCTCCTGGTTGCACCACGTGTAAGCATGTGGCGCGAAATTCTCTTCGGCTCCGACAACAGCTTCTCGACTCCGGCAGCTTATTTGGCTCGTAAAACCTATTTCTGACCTATTCGACACTTTCATCGAGTCTAGTGACAATGGTGTATCTTGATCGAAGGCAGTTAGAGAATTTAATAAGGTGGAAGGCTGAGGCACAACTTGACGAACTACAGTGCAAGAGCTGTATGAGAGAGAGATAGAGGGACGGTGGTAGGGCCGAGCAACGCCGAGCAATAAGTAACTAACCCCAACTTGCTCTTAGATTTCAAATGGTTTGACATGAAATGAGCTACTCTTTCTACCAAACCTCAAAACACCTCTTCTTTTATCTACTTTGTGTTGTTTATATCATTCTCCTAATCTTTTGGATAGCGTTACTCGTAACTTGTACTAACAAAATGCTTAATAATTTGCGTTTTACTACTTCATCTTAGTAAGCAAAGATTCTGCACCTTTTTCGTCATGTCGATGATTGCCTGATAGCTATTATTATATGAGCATTCCATGAACGGCAAGTTGGAGGTCCAACTACCAAGAAAATCCAACATACAAACGCTTTGCATATCTTCTAAGATCTTGTTCAAACATTTTGTTTGGTCATCCATCTATGAGTAAAAGGTTGTGCTAAACTTTAGTACACCTCAAAACTTAAAACTTCGCAAAAGATGGACATGAAACGAGGATCTCATTCCAATACAATAGAAATAGAATCTGATGTCTCACATTGGCTGGGGAGGAGAAAAAAACACCATTTATAAGGGTGTGGAAACCTTTCCCTAGCAGACGCGTTTTAAAGTCTTGAGGGGAAGCCCGAAAGGAAAAGCCTAAAGAGGACAAAATCTGCTAGCAGTAGATCTAGACCGTTACATAGAAATCCATATAATCTAACAACCTAACTTCTACAACTTATCTAAAGGTTGTCTTTTCGATTTATTTACATACATAAATCATAAGATTAACCATTCAAGGCCTTTAGTCATTACGTTGTACCGGTAGGTTCTAAACTCAATCCAAACTTCTTGAAATCTTAGTGTGCATTGAAGCTAAGTTGAGGCACCGGTAGGTTCTAAACTCAATCCAAACTTCTTGAAATCTTAGTGTGCATTGAAGCTAAGTTGAGGCAGACACAAAGTTCGAGAGAACAATGCGACACAATTATCGAAGACAAGCTTGAAGAGAGCCATGTAGGACCTCGAGCCAAAACCTCAGAAGTTAAGGATCTTGAAATCTTAGTGTGCATTGAAGCTAAGTTGAGGCAGACACAAAGTTCGAGAGAACAATGCGACACAATTATCGAAGACAAGCTTGAAGAGAGCCATGTAGGACCTCGAGCCAAAACCTCAGAAGTTAAGGATCTTGAAATCTTAGTGTGCATTGAAGCTAAGTTGAGGCATACACAAAGTTCGAGAGAACGATGCGACAGAATTATCGAAGACAAGCTTGAAGAGAGCCATGTAGGACCTCGAGCCAAAACCTCAGAAGTTAAGATTTCAATATGAGTTTCGACATGCCGCTTGGGAATTAAGCAACTTGATATACAAAATATAATTTACTCCATTTTATACCGGTTGTTCATTGCTATATAAAATAATTTTTTTTTTTTTTTTTTTGCTCAACAATGTTTTTTTTATTATAACTTAATCACTGCGAAATTAAAATATCTTATGCTTAATGGACTCACTATACAACAAGTAACTGAAGCAGCCACAAGCACTGGCAATTAGGTGGTCTTACTAGTAAGTAGACATCATGTCATCACATATAACGAACGTGGAAATTAGGTGGTCTTACTTTTGTCCCGAGCATGAAAAAAGTGATAAAAAAATAGAACAACGAGACCCTATAAAAAATTTTAATTTTCAAATAAATATAATTCGCTTTCGCACTTTACCATAATTTTAATGTCAACAATAATAGAATCCAAATCGCAAACAACCAAACAAAAATAATCACGAGGAACCAAATACTCGAGATAGAGAGTCAACCCTTTCAAATGGTTAGGTTGGAATATAAACTAAAAATCAAATTAAAGAAAACGGAAAGAAAATATTGTTATAGTAAGATATATTAGATCGCTAAATAATCGATTAAAGAACGAAAAAGACGTTTATGCAGTTATGCAGATTTACCTATGGAAACAGATTTACGTGAAGAGAGATGTCGTCTGTAGAAGCAGATTTACGTGATGAGATGTCATCTATAGAAGCCAATTTACATGAAGAGAGATGTCGTCAGTTTTTTAAGTAAGGTTTATATTAGATCGCCAAATAATCGATTAAAGAAAGAAAATGGCTTGTACGCAGTTACGCAGATTTACTCGTAGAAAAGAATCGATTAAAAATTGGCCAAGAATATATGTGTACAGAATTATGGAGAGAACAAAAATGACTTCACGTAGTTACATCATGAAGAAGAAGACTAACGTGAAGAGAGATGTCTTCAGTTTGTTACCATAAAATACCGCCAAAGAATTGATTAAAGAACGAAAGTGGCCTGTACACAATTACTCAGATTTACATGTAGAAACAGATTTATGTGAAGAAAGATGTCATAGGAGCAAATCAGGTAAGTCGCCTTACTATCGACATGGTTAGATTTGATGTTGTGTCAATACGTTCCCCGTGGTTTTGCACGTGCCATATATTTGATATATGTGAATTGTTTATGAAACGATATGACTATAATATGATATGCATACATTACGGTATGTGAATGGTTAGAAATGGGAATAAAACATTATTTATAAAAATGTGGAAAACTTGGACGGTTACATTACCCAATATACAATAGCTCAACTTAGCACTTCATTGGTACAAATAGTAACTCTTTTTTAGTCATCTTATCTTTATAATTTCTCTCATTTAAACCGTGTCTCGCTTCATTCATATACCTCCTCTTTATTCGGGTGTAACAAAAATATTTTCCACAAACAAATTTAAGAATTTATATATGAATGCTGAATTACCACAAAGTCATTTCTTATCAATTAAAATTAGAATATTCTTAAATTTTTATATTTTAAATACTAATAATAATAAAGTTCCCTATGGAATAAGATAAAGTTGAGAAAGAGCCATCCATCTTATGAATCAATGGCTGACATTTGTTTTTCCATCTTATGATTCTTATAAATAAATACTATCAAGAAAAAGAACTAGGCCACAATGAGGATACATTCTGAAAAAATAAAACTTCCATCGAAGAGAGGCAAATGAAAGACTTTTATAAAAATTTTCGTAGAATGAAGTTTGGTAAGCAAAAAGGATAAAAAGGTCGTTTATCGAATTTCTAAGTAACATTTTTAATTTTTAATTCCTTATCTTGAGGGAATTTCAAGATGCTAGTGAGAAATGACCTAGAAGAAATGAAGAATTTTTATGGAAATTATGGATTTTTGGAGGAAAAATAATAATAAAATATTCAAAAAGTGGCAAATTACCAAAATACCCTTAAAGTTAAGGATAATTACGGATTTGCCATTCTGCTAAAAATCCGATCCTTCACTATGCCTTCTACACAAAATCCTTCAAATCTCGACTCTCAGCCGTTCAATCTCCCCCATACTTGAATATATTCAGAAAACTCACGGATCATCACATCCAACAGCTAGGATTCAAAACCAAAGTCGGTGAGGCTGTGATCAGAGTAGATATTTCTGACGAATTTTCTAGAAAATTCAACCGATAATTCACGATGAATCTAGAGCTCCCAATGCCGGTTTATGCTTTCCCTATAAATTCTGAAGTTGGGGCAATAGTTTGGAATAAGAGTCAAGCAAGGGAGAGCTCCCAATCGTAGGCAATAAGCGTTTAGATTTTGGGTCTCCTACTCTCGGGTTTCTTCCAAATTTGAGAGCAATTCTCAACCATTTCCTTTCAAACTTGTTCCTCTAGTTTCTAAACAATATTACCCACAAGTGCTATGAAGGAATAGGGTTCGGAAAGTGCCTAGAAACCATTCCCCCAATCCAATCCGCCATTAAAGAGCTCCAAGGAAAACTCAAAATTCAAATCAGAGGATACACAAAATTCGTTGAGCAAGAACAATCTCAATAAGTTTGTGTACCTTCAAGGAATGTTCATTGAAGACCACGAAGAGAAATAACCTCAGAAACGATTCCAATTGAAGAAAATTCGTTTCGTGTTCAAATTGTGGGTAAGTGTCGAATTCCTATCTATGACCTCTTTTCCTTCAAATAAAGGATTCCTTTAGCTTAAGAGGAAAAAAATGAGTAACTTTGATGAAGGAATCAAGAGCTGAAACGTCTAAGAACAAGATACCTAAGAGATTGAAAATCGGAGGTGTCATGTAACTTGCAGACCGAGAGTGATTTCTCAAATTAAGGTCCCACACTCAAAGTTGTTCCTCGAAACCAATTTCTTAAGCTTGAGGAAAGAATAAGGAAGAAGTTCCATGAAGAAATCGAGCCTTGAAAACCCTTAGAATCGGCTACCCAATAAGAAATCCTTTGTTTTTACTCCAGCGAGAAATTATATTTTGGACGAACTTTGGAAGCGAATATCTAAGGCTACGATCCACGAAAAGGTATGAAATCAATCCATAGCTCTTCCTTGTAATACCCTCTTTAAGTTTCATGAAGAACTCGAGGGGAGAAACGGCGTGATCGGAGCTGGGGAGGGCGAGTTTCAGACGGCGGCGCGAAAGATCACGCACGTCTTCTTCCCATCGGGAGGAAGAAGACGATCACGTGGCCGGTTCAATTGAACCGGCCATGTCAACCAAAAACTTGACCCCTCGATTTTTCTAAAATTTAACCCTTTTCTAGAATGGTTCTCAGAAAAATCTTTATGGTTCCAGAAACTAGACACAATAAGAAGTCTGTGGAAGAAAATTGAAGGTAATTCAGGTATCGAAAGATCATGAACAGAGGTCCCGAACGTCGACAACACGGTAAATAGCCACCTTGCACTTTTTCGTTAAGAAATACTTGTAGGAATCGCTTGGATTTCCATATGAACCCTAAAAAAAGTATGAATTTCGAATATATGAAAGAAAAGCTCAAAGAACCATCAGTTAAGGCCCTAAATCGATCAAAATACTCGGGAATTAGGGAACGTTAAAATAACTGACTAGATGAACTCTGCTCTAATAGCCCAAAAAAAAAAAAAATCATAAATAATGAAATAAATAAAGAAATAAAGAAATAAAAATAATTATAAAAAAATGAAAATGGCCTTTATGGAGTTGAGATTCATGGGAGATTTAAGTGGAGATAGATTTGAACAATAAGGTATATATTAAATCTTCGTTTTCTTTTTAGTCTTTTTTTAAGAAATCATAGCCAATTATAGTTAGATTTTCATTAAATTATTATAATCGTTTAGTTTTGAGTTAGAAACTAAATGTCAGTCATTTATACGAATTCTAGTAAATCACGTTATATTAGTAATATTAGATTAAATATATATCCGTAGCAAATGAATAGATTAAAAATAAAATGACCAAGAAAATTTGTGAACAAAAGGAAACACCAAGATAAGGAAAGATTTGGAAATAGGGATCCACTATAAATTTGGAATAAATGAGAACAAAATTAGAAGGCAACAGAGTAAATACCCATAAAAAAAAAAGGAAGATTCTGTAATTAAAACATAAACTAAATAAAAAAGCATAAACTAAATACAGAAAAAAGTAAATATAAGAGTAGACCCAAGTAATAATTTTATAGAATTCAAACTTGAAATTGATGTCATGGGCTCAAATAGGTTTACGGATTTCAAAGGACATAATCGAACTTTCATTAAGGATATATTCGTGACAACAACTTAAGTTAACTAGGTAAGCGGCCTTACTATCGGCATGGTTATATTTGATGTTCACACGTGCCTGTGGTTCTGCACGTGTCATATATACTAATATGTGTGAATTATCTGTGAATTAATATGCTTATATTATGTTTATGTTATGCTATAATATGTGAATTGTATGATAATATTTATGGTGTGATGTGTTCAATGATATGTTTGATATATGATACGAGAAGGATGCACTAAATGTAATGTAACGATAGAAGTAAGATGTATTCACGAAACATTAAGGTTAGGTTATGCCTCGAAGTGCTATGGATATGAGAGATTGATAAAAGAATATGGTTAGGATATGGGTATAAAGAACTCCCTAAGAATCTATGACCTTCTAGAACAACTTACGCTAAGATGGGTTCATATGATTACAAATGAAAGTTACAACTTATGCCCCAAGAAATTATGAACCTTAGAAACTTACAAGATTGAGGACCAAGAACAACGACCAAGAACAACACCACACAAGCTTTACAACTACCCAAGTAAGAAGAATGTTAGGTACCACTCAAGGACGAGGGACCAAGGTCCCCAAACTAAAAAACACAAGAATGCTAGGTAATACTCTAACCATGCCCAAAGTGACCTATGACCTCGCATCAAGCGGTGCTTTCTAAGGCCCAAGAATTCCTCTTCTAGGTGGGATGACCTGCACCATGTTTCCTTTGCAGGATGTCATGTTTGGCCTCAAGTTTCCCTCACCTAGAAGAGAAGTTATGGGTACCAAAAAGATTTGCAGGATGACATATTTAAGTATGCACCGAGCTAGTGACCTTTATGGTCTACCATGAAGAGTAGTCTAGGGCCACGAAGGAACAAGAAGCGAGTAAGTTACCTTAGCCAAGAATCAAGAACCTCTTAAGACCTCCCACGGTTCAACATTCTCATGACTTAGACTATGCTAATCAACAACTGAATTTCACACCACCAATTAAACGGTAATCTTTAACCATCACAAAAACCATAATCAAACAGTATAAAACTTAAGCTTTCCAGTTCAAGATTTTATAAACCGGGTTATACTACATGCTAATCGTTGCGTTTATCATCTTAAATTTCTCGCAAATGAAAAGAGGTATAACAATAGTACACCTAAATTCCTACCTTTTATACAGATTATGAAAGATAATTAATACTAAGTTGGTTATGCTCCTACTTTAAATTTGTATTTAAGAAATAGGTTACTTTTAATAATAGTATAATTTAGACCAATGTTAACCGCATGACTAGACAAGAATAAAATAAAACAACTTCCTTTTAAATCAAGAACGCCAGTATAGACGTTACAAAACGTGATTATTCTTTCCTTGAAATCGCAAGGAAATCAAGAAGACGTTACAAAGATGAGGCGTTTCACAGATATAAAATGGGGAACTGATATCCAAACATTCCATTGTAGCAAGGAATAAGAGAAGAAACAAACATTCCATTGTAGCAAGGAATAAGAGAAGAAAAGAATGGCGGGACAAAGCTTGAGTAATCTCAAAATTGTGGTGTTCATCTTCCTAGCCCTTACTTCTGGTACTTGATCCTTCCTCCTTCTCCATGTTGATTTAGATTGACAGATAGTATTAAAAAGAAGGTTTTTGTTTGTATGAATAAGTTTGTGTTACTATTGCAGGATGGATGGTGGTGCAGACAGAGGGGCGGACATGCTATAAGCACAGCGATGCATTTATAGGACCGTGCATTGCAGCAACATGTGCTGAACTTTGCATTTCTTTTGAGAAGTGGGATGACGGATTTTGCTCGGGTGATAAATGCACTTGTACGAAGCAATGTGCTGAGTCCATGCTTTAATGGGTTTGTAATTCACCACAGTTGTTGCTATCTGAATGTAATAAGCGACTCCAATTCTACTGAATTGCACAACATGTTTACTAATCAAAGCTTCCTTCTTCCATTTTATAATTTTTATCTCAACTCGCAAGTTCAAATTGATAGAATCACAAGCTTCGTTAGTTGCGTAAATTGATGCAATCAGGTTCAAAGCTTCCTGAATATAACGTAAGCTCCTAGCTCCTCGTGAACGTTCTACGCTTCCGTTGGTGGTTGGTTCCTATTGTTTCATTTGCCACTTTCGTTAGTATTTCACAAACATAACTAATTCCCAACTTGAATTTGTGAAATATGACCTCAAAATGATCTATTTTACCTTAAATAGGGCCGAAACTATGTCTGAAAGGTTAGAACGGTAACAAACGGGCTGGAAATAGGTTTTCCGAGCCGAATAAGCCGCCGCCGAGCCGATTGTCCATTTGATATAACCATGATTAGTAAGTAGATCCTTCACATGTTGTTCGTAACTAGAGCTGGCCCAATTTATCGTTTTACCCCTGAAGTTACTTCTTGTTTCTTATGTCTTCTAATGAACAATTGGTTTGTGGCCCAACCAATAAACCGGATCCCTCTCAGGCCACTGAGAGGGTGGGGCCCCTTGTTCAAGACTTGGAGTCAGTACTTAAGGGAACTACCACTATTCTATCTCTAAAAGTGGGTAGGAGTGAATTCCATCTTGCACCCTACGTCCCCAGTCATTTACCCAGTCTTACCCCTGAAATGGGAGGCCTATTGAGTTGGCGAACTTGAGCCACTCTCACCCATGCAAATCTAAGGATAATTCCGAATAAAGAGAAGTTTATGGTTAGCTCAAGATTAAGATCGAGTTACCTAAGTTATCGAATGAAAAGAAAATCAGTCTCAACAGTAAACAACATGATAAAGTGAGAGTGATTTTTCTCATGGTTCGATCTTATGCAATACTCATTGCATAGGACGCCCCCACTCACATGTCTCCACATGTACAATTTAAGTGATCACATGTTTATATCATATACAAAAGTGAGCCGCATCCATAGTGTCCTCAGAATAAGGTACTCAGCCTTATCCTTATACTATAGATCATTTTGACTATATATTTGAACTTGATCAACTCTTATGTCTCTACATATAGTTCACGTAATCATACTATAGCTTTATTGGATTTAGATTAATGATCATAAAGTTCACTTTATTCAATAAAAATCTTTACTAAATAAACAACAATAATAACTTTATTGAAAATAGTATATGTTTTTGTTTACAAACCATGAGTTTTAGGACATAAAACCCAACAAACTCCCACTTGGACTAAAACTCTAGCGGGGTTTTATAACATTGAGTAGAGAGAAAGACATAAATACAATAAACTAGGTCATCACATACTCATGCCTTTTCTCCCACTTTCCTTAGATTACATAACTCGTAGTCCTAGACTCACTAGGTGCCCTTCAAACACTTTAGCCGTGAGGGGTTTTGTAAATGGATCAGCAATGTTGTTCTCTGAAGCTATTTGTGTGACGATCACATCTCCTCGTTGCACAATCTCCCTTATGAGATGATATTTGTGCTCAATATATTTTCCTCGCTTATGGCTTCTTGGTTCTTTTGAATTTGCAACTGCTCCACTGTTATCACAATAAAGAGTGATGGGAAGATGCATATCTGGAACAACTTCCAAATCAGTTAAGAACTTCCTAAGCCATACAAATTCTTTCGCTGCTTCACAAGCAGCAACATACTCAACCTCCATGGTGGAATCAGCAATGCAACCTTGTTGTATGCTTCTCCATATTATTGCTCCTCCGTTTAGAGTGAAGACAGATCCTAATGTCGATTTCCTCGAATTTACATCGGTTTGAAAATCTGAGTTAGTGCACGCCCGAAGGCACCCAGCTCCACCCCACCTTGCATGTTTCGTCATCGTACCAGCAGCCATCCACAGTCCTCACACCAGAGATTCCCATTTAGAAGGCAACATTGCAACATTCCGTGCTCAACAAGGCTCATGTCGCACGCCCAAAGGCACCCGATTCCATCCAGCCGAACATGTTCTGGCACCACACGCCTTCAAAACATAGGGTTGGCCCAAGGCTGGCCGAGCATCACCATAACGTCACACACTCAACGAGGTTCATGCCGCATGCCCAAAGGCACCCGACTCCACCCCACATTGCATGTTTTATCGTCGCACCAGCCATCAACCATCCTCAAGCCAGCCCAAGTTAGAAGGCAACATCGCAACATTCCATTCTCAACAAGGCTCATGTTGCACGCCCAAAAGCGCACCCGACACTACCTCACCGTGCAAGTTTCGCCACCGCACCACCGCCATCAACCGCCCTCGTCCGCCAACCACCACCCCCACACCCCAAGCATATGCCCACGTGCAGCACATAGTGCTTGGGACGTGGGGGTGGCGGAAGATATAGGGGGTACCCCCGTGCCTAGCCCATGCAGACTAGTCACCCCCTTATATAGTACATTTTGAAGCATTTTTTGGTCTTCCAGGCCTAGATACGATTTTTCGGAGCCGTCATACGGTCAAATATCTCAAGTTTTAGATTGTTTTTTTCCATGAACTTGATTGATTCATTAATGGAACATTCTAATGGATCTATAAATCAAGTTTCATAATTTTTCAACCAACTTATTTTTTTTAATGAATTTTTAAATATTAAATAATAGGAAATTAGAAAAAATAGCTAGAGTTGTCAAGAAAAATCTCAAATTTTGTGGGAATCATTCTTTCATGTTGCTTAGCTCCCAAGAAAAAAATATACAACAAACCGACCACTCCACATGTACTTTCACAATTAATGGGTGATGGTTGTAAAAACAAGGTCATGGTCGATGTCTTGGTGTAATGTACTTTCTATAGTATCAAAACTCTTGAGTTTATTGTGAAAAATGAATGACTTTTTTTAATGAAAAGTGAATGTTCATCAAACCCAATTCCCGTGAAAAGTGAATGTTCATTTTTAATACTTTTATTGTTATGACTTTTTTTTTTTTTTTTGGAACTAAGAAAAGAGTGACACCCATTAAATTTAACTATTTTTTCTTTTGCTTATCTTACTTTCCACGGATGTTCGGTGTGATAAATTGTTAACCTTCAAGGCTTTATACGTGTACTCACGCTTCATAGGCATTGGGTGTGATGTTTTTTTTATGGAGGTAAAATCCAACACTTTTGATATGATGTTGGTAGGTCATGTATCGCACATAGCATAGGATGGGGCTTGGCGTGTGCGAGGGGAGTGCGGGGTGAGCGCACGGGGGCATGCAGGGGTGTGCGGGGGGGCGTGTGAGGTGAGCATGCGGGGATGTGCGAGGTGAGTGCGCGGGGGTGTGCGGGGTGACTGCAGGGGGAGCACGCGCGGGGGGCGTGCAGGGCGTGCGGTGGCAGGTGAGGGGAGTGCGAGGTAACCTCCAAGGGTTTTGGATGTCTTTGATTTTTCATAGAGGTTAACCTATGAAAGGGTTTTGTGGCTAGCATGCGTGCCTTTGGAGTGGGCATGTAGACAAGGGTGTGAACATGGACTTGTTAGTTGTGCTTGCGTTGGGTAGGTGTTGGTGGGCATGATGTGCGCGCAAAGGTGATAGGGGCGTTGCTGCGGTGTGGGGCTTGTCGCACGCACGAGGGGGCAAGCACTGGCACCCCATGATTGCCGACCATAGGCCTTAGCGGGCACACGAGCGCCCAAGCCATGCTCCCACCCACCCATGCATCATTCTCACTAACACCCAAACCAACACCACCCCAACTCACGCATGCATTTTAGATGGCCTTGCATTGGAGCATGTCCAATCATCAACACTTAACACGTAGAATTATTACTTTTCCTATAACCTCCATGACACTTGAAAGAAATAAATTGGTTTATTGTGTGGGGAGGGACAAATCGGAGAGACGAAGGGCTGAATCTTAGTGGATCGTGGCAGCAAGGCCACTCTGCCACTTACAATACCCTATCGCATATTTAAGTCGTCTGCAAAGGATTCTACCCATCGCTCAGTGGGAATTACGTTACAAGGCAGCCCTTGAGACTCATCCGTCACAAGGGCTTAGCCAATGC